CAGGTCAAAGGTCATGAATGAAAGTCTGGTTTGTTTGAAGGGCTGTAGGAGAAAACCCAGCATGGCTGCTCAACTCGGGTAGGTAACATGTCATCTGAATGAACCACAAGACTTCTGTCACAAAGTGGAGATGTTTACCCATAATGCACTGCAGCACAAACACCTGAAACAAGTTAACACACGTGGTTTGGGCTGGAGAAAACCCTTGCATGCACGAGGACAACACGCTAAATCCAGACATGCATGAGGAGGCAAGGAGGTTCCCAGGGTTTCCTTTCTCTGAGTAAATAAAGTCAGGAATGTGATTTCTGTCTGGATTCTAATTATTCTGAGTCCAAATGAGATCTGGATACAGGAAGTTAAAATCCCGGGATCCAGGAGAACATCGGCAGATGGAATTGCTGATCCTTAGGAATCTGATCTGTTGACAGCAGACTCTAAACCTTTTTGTTTAGCCTACCTGAAGCTCCAACTGCTAACAGGTTCCAGCACGTCTGAGTCTTCTAGCTGCTCCAGATGAGTTATTGTTCTCTAAACATGTTTCCTTGGGATCTGGAAGCTCACAGAAACCTGCTCTGTGATGAAGGTTCCAGGTGCTGTGTGAGGGACTGGAGGTCAGCTTAGACCTGATCCTGATTCCTTAGACACTGAAACTCCTCCAGATTCCCTGAATGATCTCTGATCTTCTGAGGGAGGGGGGGGGGGGGGGGGGTTAGTTAGAAGGTTATAATCCACAATTTTGACCTTTGATCCTAAACCAATCCTGCCTGGTAACATCCCCGAATGCATGATCATCATTATCACAATATGATGAATGAATTTCTTGACAGGTGCTCTCTACTGACCCCAGACCAGACAGAAACGCTCCACTGAACCATCACAGACACTCAGAATGAAACCAACCGTTGGTTTAGTTAAACAACCCGAATGAAGGAGATTGTTAAAAAACTCAGTAAAAGTAAAACAATCTTTGCTTTTGACTGAGGACTTATTTCTAGAACTTCTTCTGATTGAAATGAAACCCCCTCTTCATCAGCAGATGCTGTTAAGAGTCCTCTGCTGGAGGATGAAGAAGAAACAAAAACTAAACCCAGACAGAAAAAGAGCAGGATGATTCCCACAAATCCATCTGATCCCTGATGGATTTTCATGTTGCTAAGTCACACAAAGACTCTCTTCTCCTGTGCTTTGTTGGTTCTGGAGAAGCTCCAACACAAACATGCCCAAATGAACAGAGCAGGATCTGCGTAGAGTGTGATGTTAGCTACAGCATTTTATCTAAAAGTTTTTCTTGTTATAAAAGACATGTAATAAAAATCATTCAAACACCAGTTTCCTTGTTTTGAGGTTAGTTTAATACAGATTTATTCCAGATTAAATCTCATGGTTCTGATGGGATCTCCTCACCTCCATCAGAAATTAAACTAAACGAATCCCAGATCTTTGCTCCAGAAGCGCTCCCATCATGACCCGCTAATAAATGTGAAGCAGGAAATGAAGAGAAGAATCTGATTGATGTCCCTAAAACCTCTAAATGTGCTCTTCCTGAAGTTTCCCCCTTGTGTTTCCTGGCAGGAAGTGAGGACTATGATGAATATGACAATGATACAAGTGTAACACCAATGCCAGACTATGACTACAACAGCACCTTTGAGTATTACTACGGTAAGCGAGGAGGATCAAGCCATCAGGTCAGCTAAATTTGTACTGACGCTAACAGGAGAATGTGTGTCTTCACAGTGACTGAGGATCACGTCACCGACACGGTGAGCAGTCCTTCTGTTTGTTTACCAGAACCAGGAGACCCTGTATCTCTACTTCCTGTCAGAAACCAGCCAACAGGAGACGCTGCAGGAGACACGACTCAGCTTACTCCCTGCTGTCTCCTAACTTCTGGATGTTTCTGTTTATCTTGTGTCTGTAGGATCAAAGCAAGCCGACTGATATTCCTGATGTGGGGCAGGTCGCAGAGCCGAAGGACAGGAACAGGAGCTGCAGACCGACCATCGAAAAAACCCTGACGATTAATGTCCTACTGATGTCTCTGATTCTTTTTCACTAAATGTTTCCAAGATGATGGTTTACATGTTCAGTTAGTTTAATTTTTTTAATGTGTAATAAATAAACACACACACACACACACACACACACACACACACACACGGGTCACTCCGCGGCTGGTTGCTTTGATTGTTTCAAACTGAACCTGAGCTTTAAGGTGTCGTGTTTGTATCTGTTTTATGTTTTAAATGAGACCATTTTCAGTCCTTATGAAAGTCCGATGCAAGTTCATCCATCTCATCTATAAAAAAACAAAGATGGTCAATAAAAGCTCTGGAGTCAGAACTCTGTCTTTATAACCATAAAATCCCCTCCGTAATGCTGACTTCTGTAACACTGAGTGGGACCTCCAGAACCTCATCGGTGTTGAGTGGTTTTGTGGACTAGCAAGTCTCGGTTCTGCCTGAAGCCTTTCCCACACGCGTCACAGAGAAACGGTCTCTCGCCGGTGTGCATCCTCATGTGAGCCCTTAGACTTCCGTTCTGGGTGAAACGTTTCCCGCAGGTCAGACAGGAAAACGGTCTCTCACCGGTGTGCGTGGACACGTGTCGTGCCAAATCACCACTGTTACTGAAACGCTTCTCACACATGTCACAAGGGTAGCGCCGCTCTCCGGTGTGCGTCCTCACGTGAACCGTTAAATTACCATTTTGAGAGAAAGACTTGCCGCATATCTTGCATGAATAAGGTCTTTCTCCAGTGTGGGTTCTAATGTGGATCAGAAGTTTTTCGTGGACTCGGAAGCTCTTCCCACAATGCGGGCAGGCATGTGGCCTGTCGTCTGAGTGTGTGTTCACGTGGTTATGTAACGACGACGAGCTGGAAAAGCTTTTCCCACATGTCTGACAAACGTACGGCCTCTCACCGGTGTGGACTCTGTAGTGAGCCTTCAGTTTGGACCTGGACTTATAAACCTTCCCACAAAACTCACACTGTAGAGACCTCTGACCTGACTCTGAGTTACTCAGACTCTCTGCGATGGGAGACATGTCTGCATCGCTGCTCGGACATCTGTCCTCAGACAGGAGCTGCTGGTTGCTTGGTTCTGACTCACTGAGGTCACTCTCATCATTAGTCACCATGATGGCTCTGGTTTCTTCCTCCTGACTGATGCAGAGATCCTCCTGTTCCTCCTTTATATGCGGAGGATCTGGTTTTTGATGTTCCTCTTTTAGGTAGTGGAGATCCGGTCCCTCCTGGTCCAGACCAGACCTCCTATCCTGTTTACAAGGCTGCTGGTCTGTGAGCAAATCTTCTTCTTTGCAGATGATGTGCAGAAAGAAGTCTGGGGCCAAAAAAAAAGAACAAAAAGCTGTAATTTTATAACAAATGTATTTTTATTGTACAGGAAACAAAGATATAAAATTACATTTAAATGACAAAGCTGTTTGAATCTGTTTCTGATTAATGATGATGTCGGTGTACCTCCTGGTTCTGTACTCGGACCTTTCACAATCAGAATCTGATTTATTGGCCAAATGTGTAAAACACAAGGAATTAGGTTCCAGCTGTTGGTGGCTCTGCCAAACGCCCTCCAATAGCAGTGCTGCATTGTATTCTGGGATGCAGGTGGGTAATAGCTACTGTGTAGCTCCTAGCTAGCTGTAAGAAGACCAGCTGGTATTTTGGCAGATTTATCAGCTCAGACTCAAAAACAGCGACAGGTGTGTGTGTTAAGAGTTTGCTGCTAGCTTGGTCAGGATCTGAAAGCACAGCTTTTGGGAAGCTCCGCCCCCACATGAGTTGACCAATCAGCAGACTGAACTTTAACGCTAGATTTGTGTTTCTTTTGCAGTTTTTTCTATGTGGACATAACCAAACCAGAGGAACAAACTACAGATGAACTAAATAAGAAATGATTCAGACCAGAGGAACTGAACTGTAGGAGTGGAAACACCTTAAGGGTACCTGGTCGCTTTTCATCCTGACTGATGAGCTGATCCTCCTCTTCAGTGAGTCGAGGTTCCTGTTCCTTTTTGAAGAAGGAAGGCTCGGGTTCCTGCCATTCCTCGTTTATGTGAGGGGGTTCTGGTTCCATTTGCTTCAGGCCAGGCTGCTGATGTCCGAGAACCTTCTCCTTTGTGCAGTTAAGTTGCTGTGGTTGGTCTGAAGAACAACACAAGAAAAAGAGTTTTATGTTAATGTTAAAAACCTTAAATCTGGGATATAAAATGAAGCTAAAAGCAAAAGCAGCGATCCTCGTTTTTTAGTTTGTTTTCAAACTGAGCGTCACGGAAAACGGAACTGAGTTGTCAAATAATAAATATAAACAACAAACATCATAAATAAACAGGCTGTTGTAACCCCACAGACTGATTCATCCCCACTATGTAGAAAATCATTAAAACTCTTTGCCTGCCTGCTCAACCAATTGGTAGAGCATTTCTAAAGTCCCTACATCACATTGAAGCAATAAATGAACTTAACAAGAAAAAAGATAAATCAAGAAAATTCTTAAAAATATGAGGTTTGTTCAAGGAAAAGGCAAAACATTATTATATTCCATCACTTTACCTTAATATTATTACAATTAGTTTATTATTAATATTATTAATTTACATTAAACTAAAGCCCTTACTGTCCCACATCAAAAAATGCAGAAGTGGAACATTTTCATTGCTTATTTCTTGGTGAAATAAAACTCACATTTTATTTTACCCAACGTTTTAAAATATTTTAAAAATTACAATTTTTAAAATTGAATCTAAAAATAAAAATAATTCTCATTTTGTACACATTTTGCACAGAAATCTTATAAAATCATCAGAATACTTTACTGAAACAAAAAATTTGGCTGAAATTTAACAAAAAACTTACATATTTGATGTTTAATATTTATCAGTGATGAATTTCAGATGTGATTAAATCAAGATAGTTTGGATTCCACATGTGGTTTATGTGTCAGAGAGCAATGAAGTGCAAAGGAAGAACAAACTAAAACTGTTGGGAATATTTATTTAACAAGCAGAAATTCATGGGAGAAACCAGGATTTCCAGAAGTCCAGACCATTTAGGATCTTCTTCTGTGTGGTGAATCCAGATGTTTCTCTGGTGTTAAGACACTCAGAACGGAACATCTCCAGAAAGAAGGATGTGGAAAACTGAGGTTTTAATCTTGGACATTCCGAATGAAGGAAGTTCTAGGAGCAACACTTGGGGAAAGGATTGACAAAACCATTGATGGGGATCAGGAGGATGAAAGCCAGCATCCCAGAATAAAAAGGTGGTAATTTCCCTGGAAGAAAGTCTTGTTTAAAGTTTGACTCTCCATCAGCCTGTCTAGATTTCAGCAATGTCTGAGGTGAAATTGGGATCAACCATTTGGTTCCATGTTCTCCTGACCAATACAGAGATCCACGAGTAGGAGGACTGCTGCTCTTCAGCCGTTGGGTGTAGCTCCTTTTGGAGGAGGTGGAGCGGTTCCAGCAGCTAGTCAGACAGGAGGTTGGAGTGAAAATAAAAGATTATCATTATTATACACGTTTGAAGAAAACAGGTACATCAGTGTGTCTAGTTAGAGATAGAGGCAGCAAACATTTTAAACCTATTGTCCTAAAAACAAACTAGAATAGTCAAATTATTCTTTTTTTCATAGCTCAGTTCTTCTCAACTTTAATGATGTAACAAAAGAGACAGATTTTAATCTGAATAAAAATCGATCTAATTTAATCTCTAGAAGAATCTTGCTAGCTTTAGCCCATGCTGCTGATCATTAGTCTCTGACCTTTGACCTCTGATCTAATCCTTTTTCATGAGCAGTAAAACTGACCTGATGTGATCTAAACTTAGGAAGTCCGTGACAGTCACAGCCGTCATCTCCGTTCGGTGTGGTCTAACGGCCCCGGTTAACGGTAGAGACTCCTCACATCTATTTGTCCCCGGTACTCGCAGCCGACCAACCTGTGATCCGAACTTTGGACGTCCTCCTGCGTCACTGACGTACGTCAAATGAAAACAGATGGGCTGTGTCTCAATTCAGGGTCTGCATCCTTCGAAGGACCCAGCCCACCCGGCCGACGTGGGCTGCGTCCTCCGTCGGCCGGGTAGACCGGATGTTAACGGCTGTGAATTTGGACAGGCCTAGCCTTCATGAACTCCCTCGGCGAACGTTCCGTCGCCTAGCAACCGTGGAACCGCTGGGCAGAAGGGAGAAGGAACTTTAAACGATGGAGCTCGACGTTTTATTTAGCTTTTTAACCCCCAGAAACCCAAATTTAGAAAACAACTGCAAAATATTTTTTTAACCTTTCACATGTTCTAGGAGGCCAGATAAACGGGCCTATTTACACATTTTAACAGCCAATAGTGTTGCAGAACTGAACAATAGGACCTATTAGCAATGTAAATGTGGTTTTAAAAAGAAAAAAAAAATGGGGAAGGTTTATTCTTGTAGACTTAAATCTGATGTTGTAATACTACAACCGTGGGTCTCTGGGGGTTAATCATTTCCTTGACTGTTGGAGAGCTAATTCAGAGAAAATACTTTAGACTAGCTGAGCCTGAGCAAAGATGTGATAATAGTTTTTAATACTTTCTAAGGGTCTTAATTTGACCAAAACCGATTTATCACCTTTTAAGACTTTTCAAGACCCAGCGGATACCTTCTAGTAAACAATTCTCATTTGTAAACAAAAATAAAATTCAAGAGTTTAATGCAGAACTGATTTTATTTAGATATTTCTTTTACATGTACATGTTTAATCTTCCTTAACCATTTTTTTCTAGCAAAGTAAAAAGCTGTCAAAGTTCTTCCTTCTCTCCTGGGCTCCTGCTGCTCTGCCTCCCTCTGCAGCCTCATGTCCTCCCAGATCAGCTCCAGAAGCTCATCGCTGGCACCTTCCCCTGGATGCCCATTTTCTCCAGAATAGTCTTAACAAACATGTAAGAAAAGAAACAGGAAGAGAAAAGAGGACAACGGGTTATTCCTTTCATGTTTTCGCAGAAAAAAAATAAACTCAAACGAGTTTTTAAAATATGAGATGTTATTGTACCTCCATGCCACAGCCGCCGAATACTTTGCTCCGGTGATCATGTGGTCCATCTCCGTCCTAAGCTTAATAAATTCCCTGGTTTTCTCTTTTGTTCCTAAAATACAAACTTCTATTAAAATCAGGGGGAAACGTAGCGGGAGAAGTACGACACCGAGCGCGGCCGAACATACGAGCCGAGACCGCAATACAAGCACTTTTACTGTAACATTTCTAACTAAAATAACGTTCATGTATCACAAAAAGTCCTTAAACTGACAGTTTTCAAGTTTATACTTACATGTATATGCGCAATCCTCTCCGACAGCTCCCGCTTCACTGTCCGCCATTGTTTTTAAGTTTTTCTGCCGGCCGGCCCGCAAGGCATCTTGGGAAATGCTACCTATTGAAGGATACACCCGACCCATCCTTCATTCAGGCGAAAAGAAGGCCGCATTCGTCGACCGCATTTGAAGGAGTCTTCGAATTGGGACAGGCCGAGTCGCGGCGCTGTGACGTAACCGGCCGACGAATCCGGCCGAGGTAGGATGCAGACCCTGAATTGAGACACAGCCATGGACTCGGATTAGCATCCCGAACCAAATCCGGGCTACATACCTGCTCTGTGGAGCTTTCTCTCAAGTTTCCAGCTGATTCCGGACCGAGGGTCGAGATCTCCGTCGGTTCGCTGAATGTTCGTTAACATTCCTTCCGGTGGAGCAGCTACCGTCTCCGTGATAAGCTCCCTAACGCCGTCCATTGTTTACAGTGGACGATGATCTGGCAGAGACTATCGACATATAAATACGCGTCGGCAGCCCACCGCCTTCTCTTTCTTCTACGGTTAGAGACGCAGAGCTGCAACAACAACCAGCGGCTCGATGCTGCACCCTACAGGCCACAACTACAATTGCTGTTTTCTCCGGAGGAAACAACACTTATTTAATTGCTCTGTTAAATATTAAATGTATTTTTATAGTTCAAACACGCTAAATAAATAGATCTTTAATAAACAGTTTAAACATAGAAAAATAAAACTATTCAACGAGAGATTTAACTAGTAAAAACGCTGTTAGGAAAACATCCAAAATGTGAGTTTAAAACCTATTTCAGACAATTAGATGTCTAAATATAAAATTTAATTACTTGATAAAGTATCCTCCCGTTCCCACAGGTGGGCTGATCCTGAGTCGGCCAAAGATGACAAAATGATGGAACCACTTCTTGGACATCAGCCAGGCCTCCTCCTGCTCTTCTCCCAGACACAATCGGAGATATTTTGCTTTTATGATTGTATTAATACAACGCTGTTATTTTTTATTCTGTCCATACTTTTCCAAAATCATTAAGTTTGTGGTTCTGTGAACACAACTTCTGGGTTTTAAGTGTTTTAATGAAGCTGGTTTGGTTTAGAAGTGTTGATATCTGTTATAAAAAGGGAATATAACCTTTAAAATGTTAGATTTAGACCTCGATCTAAAACCTGCTGAAGCTTAGATTTGATCCATCTGCTTTACTCCAGTGTTTTTGTTTCCCATTCAACTTTGTAGAGCTGAAATAAAATGTAAGATTTGGTGTCACAAAGCAGAAAATCAGATGTCTGGTTTGGTTTTGGGAAGGCCAACCTTTCTAATAAAAACGGCTTACCTGGAACCAAAAGCTGCAATCCTAAAAAATAAAAAATTTAAAAAGCAGCTTTTACTTTGAAAAGTACGTTTATTAATGGTATAAGGCCACTCTGGACTGTGCAGAAGTTTTAGAGAAGAGCAGAAATCACCACCAACCCAACCCTGTGAGTCCAATGTTCCGTCACATCAAATCAGAAACTGGTCGGCTCGCTGCGTTTCAACGATTGAGAGCAAACAGGTTCAGCTCAGAGAGTGCAAACCTGGAGGGAAAAAAATCCATTTTTAGTTCAGTCTTCATGCTTCAGATGTTCTCCTGGAGGTTTATTCCCAGCTCCTGATATCAGATCCATAGGGGTAACCAGCTGCTGCTGTTAAGGCCACATTCCTATGGGAATGCCTCCGGATTCCAGGTGTATGGAGAACCTCAGAGCTTCATTCACAAAACACCGAAACGCCTTCACAGGGTTTAGAGAGCCAACAGAAATCACACCAAGCTCTTTGGTTTCTTCTGCCAGTGAAGCCAAACTCACTGGACCAACAGAATTTCACAAGGACACAATCAGCCGTCGGAGCAGAATCAGGGTACAGTACAGACGGGAATATTCAGGTAATCTTCATCCTCAGAAAACCAAAGTAAAAAACCAGAAACCTTAAAAAAAAACTCCCCAAACCAATCAGAGAAACCCAAAAATCAAACTCAAAATAGGATTTTATAATAAATTAGCTCATTGCTGCTCCCTGCTGCTCAGATATTTCAGCTTTAACCGGGATTCAAACCTGAAGCAGCTGTGCTGCAGTTCATTTTTCTCTTCTTACAGTTTTGAGAAGATTAAAGACATACAGAGGAGAATCAGTCAAGCACTGACAAACTCAATCTAAGCAGGGACGTGATCTACTGGAAGGTCAAGAAACCAGCTGATGTTAGGAGACAGACCTCAGATCAGCCATTTAGTGGATATGTGTGTCAGTTTATCAGAACCAGCAGTGACTCAACTCATCAGATACCAATTTTAAAACAAATTAACAGCCTTTTCAACACAAAGTAAGGTCTGAGTGAAAACAAACGTACATGGTTCTAAGGCCCCACAAGGTTTAGCAGCGACCACGTCGCCGTGGAAACAAACTCACAGAGTCCAACATTATTTCTTCGTACAGCTCCTTTGGAAGAACAACCAGGTGCAATGAGATGGGAGGAGAAAATATGGAGAACAGTCACAGCTGATCAGAAACCAGATTGTTCTGTGTTGGTCCGTTTAGCGCCGGGCCGACGCGTTGGCTGCAGGTTTCTGCTCATCTTTGGCGGGAGGCGACTGAGGAAGTGGGTGCAGACCGGTCTCAGTGCCGATGTTGACGGTGATGTTGGCGTAGAGGGGCAGGTAGTCCCGAGAGACGACCTCGTACTCCAGCGTGTTCATCCCGTCCTGCTTCCACGTCTGGCGTGTCTTTGCCAACATGTTGAACCTGAAAATGGAGAAAATAAATGCTTTTAAACAAAGATGGCCACCACAGCTGGTCAATGTTAGTAAACATAAAACCACGTGTGACTGTCAGTTTCACATAAGATCAAATCTGCCAGCAGCTGAGAGTCGGTCACAACACTGAGTTCTTATCCTAAAAACTAAATCCCTGTTCACACCTGTAGGGGGCACTCTTTAGTCACTGGTAATGTAAACGTTTAACCATCTAAAGCAGGGGTGTCAAACTCAAATTCACACTGGGCCGAAATGAAAATCTGGGACGAAGTCGCAAGCCGAACTTTTTTTTTTTTTAATGACAGCAAATTTGCACATTTTCTTCATCAACATGTATGCAATTTTGAACCTTTTAATTTGGAAACAAACTTATTTTTGCATTAACACTGAATGTGGAATAACCAAATTACACACGAGCAAGTCCGTTTTAAATTAAATGAATCAGTGGTATTCATTACTTGTGGTATACTCAACATTTTTAAAATCTATTCAGGATTTATGTTTTCTTGTTATTCATTTTTCTTATTTTTATTCTCCTTTTTTTCTCCTGTAATAAGTGTCATCGCTGCTGTGACATCTAGCTTTCCACACTGAGGAACAATAAAGGGATTTTCTTTTCTATTCATCTATCTGCAGCCTTTCCACTTCCTTTTTTACTGTAGGTTAAATCTTTTCTCATGGAACAACAACAAAATAAAATTATAATTTTATCTTAAATGAAAATGCAATATCTCACCTGTTAACTTTCATGTTTAGGAGCAGAAAAAGAGCATAAAACCAAAATATTTAAAGCTCAGTTTTACTGTGATGCTCACCTGTTCCAGCCAGGTACCTGCATCATGGAGTTGATCTGAGCTGAGGAGGAGACTCCTGTTGTTTTGTTCATCTTCATCATAATAATGACAACATTAGATGACAACAGGTGCTCACACTTGTGCTGATGAACATGACTGAGCAGCTTGACCACGTTGTTGTGTGTCGGGGAGGAAAAATAAAAACTACAGCAGCCACAGAGTCATGCTGATTTGAGCGTGTCGCTGCTCGCTGGAGTTATATCAGCTCTGTCTGGAAGTTAGTTGGAAAACTTTCTCTTTCAGTCGTGAACACCTTACTGAGCGGTTAAAATCTCCGTTTCTGGGCTTCAACGTCGGCAAATAGCTGAGTAAACTTGGCGCTGAGTGAGAGGAGTGTTTAGATTGTCCGAGACAGCGGGCAGCAGACAAGCTGGAAAAAACACAAAGGAGGGGGCGGTTCGGCTCCGCGCTAATGCCGCACAGCATCATGGGAATTGTAGTCTTTGCGGTAAAATCGGCCAGGGGGTCAGTTTTAATATGTTTGATATTTATCTCACGGGCCACATAAAAATGCTCCGCGGGCCTTGTGTCTGACACGTGATCTAAAGCTTTTGGTTTCTTAAAAAAAAAAACTTTATTTACATTTCTAAATTCTTTTAAGCTTCAATTCTAATTATTGATATAAAATTTTACAATTTTTAGACTTTCCCAAAATCTGAAGTTTCTGGTTTATGTAGCGAATCCAAACTGACCGAATGTCAGCCTCAAATGGAATCAAGACAGAGAAGTTTGATTCATTTTACAGGCGAATCAAGCAGCGACTTAAGGTCCCACCCCGCTCAGTCAGCTGCAGACGTGTTCTTGAGCAAGACATTGCTGGAGGTTGGAGGGCCTGGTGGTGCCCATCTATGGCAGCCCCACCTCTGCCAGTGTGTCTTAGCGCAGCTGTGGCTACATTGTAGTTTTTACCTCTTCGGGTTCTCATCGTTGCCTTTGTCCAGCTTGTGTTTGATCATTTTGTAGCGTCCAGTTTTCAGTGAAGGACGAGTGATGTACATCCCAGCCAGAGACACTCTGAGGACAGGAAAAACAAGACAGTTAAGCCTAATCTGCAGAAACTAAGCATTCCAAGAGTCACACCGCACTCAGGTCCTGGAGGCGCCGTCTCACCTGATGCCGATGTCGTCATCTTCGCCCCCCCAGCCCCAGTAGTTGTTGGGAAAGCCGTTCATCTTCAGGTAGTGCAGCGGTGACAGAGCTGACACGCCTCCAAAGTACATCTTGTATGGAAGCCTGAAGAGGACAGACGGATGGACAGCTGAGTACTTTGTCTTGGCCCCCAGATGCCTTGAAACGGCTCTGGCTGTGACTGTCTTGAAGGTCACCCGAGTCTCCGCCACATCAGTCAACGCTGGCTGACTTACTTGTAGCCGAATTTGTCCATGGCGATAGCAGCATGCTTGGGGTTGGCGTCGCAGGTGTATAGGTTGCGGTCGTCCTCTGGAATGAGGTCAACATCGTGGAAGAAAAGGCAGTCCCAGTCCTCCTCCCTCATGGCCTCTCGGAAGCCGACGTTCATCAGCTTGGCTCGGTTAAACGTGTAGTTTCCTGCCTGGAAAGCAGAGAGACGGTTCATGAGCAAACAGACATCTGGGATGTGGTGAAGGACCCAAGATGCTCAGAGCCTCTCCTAAATCAACCCTTCAACAACTGAAACCTTGTTTTTAACTCTGCTACACATCCAGGCAAAAGTCACTGGAGGGCACTCTGACTGCATCCTAATCAGGATCATCAACATTGTTCCTCAACATCAGATCTGATGAATTCCATCTTTTTCAGCTGCATCATGAGATCTCAGAGCGAACCAAGCTGGTTCTGGTTTACCTGGTGGATGACGTAAATCCCGTAGCTGAGCTGCTGCCGCTGCAGAAACGGGTGCAGGTAGTAGAGTAGGAACTTGAGGTGATGCTCTCGGTTCCTGTGGGGGATGATGATGGCCGTCTTGTGTCTCGCCTCACAGTTGGGCGGTCTGTATCGTCCTCCTCGGATCACCAGCGGGTTTTTCCTCTGAACCTCAGCCAGGGTGAGGCCAGAAGGGAAGCTGACATGGATGGGCCCACCTACGGAGACAAATCCAGCGTGTTGTTAGCAGCAGGAAGGAGTGTGGTTAATGGAGCTCCAGTCCCATTTGAGTAAAAAAACCACTAAGTCAAATTTCCTTCAGACCAACACAAAAGGGAGGACAGTCCTGAACATGCGCGCGCACACACACACACACACGCGCACACACACACACACACGCACATGCACACGCACACGCACACACACACGCACACACACACACACACACACACACACACACACACACACACACACACACACACACACACACACACACACACACACACACACACACACACACACACACACACACACACACACACACACACACACACACACACACACACACACACACACACACACACACACACACACACACACACACGACAGGAAAACAACCTCTGTCAAAAGCGAGGGAAAATAAGTGAATCATTAATCAGGACACATTCAGAGTGAAACTATAACCTAGCTCATTAACGTTTCTCAAACTGGATCTCTGAAGGGAAAACGCTTAACCCACTAAAACATTCCCAACCGTCTCGCTCAGCAGGATTTTAAAATCTGCTCTGAGTCGGATTAACATGAAAACATTCCTGGTATGCGGTTTGGCTGCTTGGTTTACATTTACGTTCTGATTGTATCTCTTGTTTTTAAATGAAGAACCTGCTGGTTTCACTGGAATTTCTCAGACATTCCAACAGGAAAACACAAATGAGCCGTTTTAAAGGATCCAACCTGCAGAGACCGCTGACCTCGACTCTAGTTGGTTGAACTACTTTTACATTGATGAAGGGAATCCTGCAAGTAACTAAGTGAATGATAATTAAGTTTCACCATTTTTATGATTCAATGATCTAGAAACCTTCATCCTAGTAAAACAGGAAACATGATTAGAGGGAGGCGATGCTCTGGAGTCTCATGGGATTGATTTGACCCCAGTAGTTTTCTTCAAACCCACATTTGGTGTCTCATGACCCACATGTGAAGTCCAAGTTTATTCACATTTCCATATTCTGAATCCTGACCCAACATCAAGTTGGATCCCGGAGGTACCAGGTTCAGGAGGGAAACCCAGACACCCCCTCAGCACTACTTCCCAGCTCCTTCTGGAGGTGTTCCCGGACCAGGAAGAAGTTCTAGGACACCTCCAGGTCTCCCAAAAATGACATGGAAACAACAATAGAACAAGAGGTTTCTGGGAATGTCTCACTGGGGAGAGGCCAAGAGACATCCCACTGAGCAACCTGACAGAACTCTGACCCAAACCCATCCTGTCTGAGCAGCAGGTCAGACAGATCCTTCTACTCGATCTGCAGAGCAACCAGAAGCTCCTGATCCTAATCCAGTTTGTAAACCAGAATGTAAAACCCCACCTTCCAGTGTTCTGACTCATCCCTAAATTAAACAGTTGCTGTTGAACCTGTTCCGGGGCACCTCCAGCTTTTTAAATGCGTCTCTTCTCATTTGACAGCAGTGAGACCTGAGGTGAATACAGCTAGTTTACAGACATCAAGCTTTGAGCTCTGAGAAAAACTTTAACTATGCAAATGAGCAGTCAGCTAATCCAATCTAAAAATAGGTTACTTAGAATGAAATAAATCCGATCCCGGATCATCATGGAGGAACCCGACACGGAACACAAAACGTTCACCTCCATGATTACTCCCAAATCCCAGAACTGCAGAGCTGTTCTCATCCCAGTTTCTCCTGATGATTTTCTGAACTCGTCTTTTCGAACGATTTCTGATTACCTGAAACATTCAACCACTAGACACTCATGGACGTTTGACACTCACCTATGAGGGGGGACGTCTCTGGACAGTAAGGCATGTTGTCTCCATGGCTGTGAGATTTGGACAGGTTAAACAAGTTGGCGTAGACGTCTCCTGCAGCCACGGTGACAGCTGTGCGGTTGTGATGCTCTGAACTTGTTAAGTCTGGTTTCCGGAAGATGCGGATAAAGTAGGTGACCCTCTTGTGGTACCCCTCTCGGGACAGCAGCGCCATGACAACCAGCTGAATGCCCAGGAACATTAACAGGTAGCGCCATCTGGACTGCAACCCAACCATGGTGAAGGGTCTAGTTCCTGCCGGTCCGTTTCAGCTGAAATAAATTCCAAATAAAAACTCCAAACTGTTGATGTTGGGTTCAGCCGTGGCTGATTCCAAACCTTTATCTGATCCAAAATATGGAAACACACACCTCCTGTCTGTTATAGTAAACTACAGAAGATACTTGGTAGAGAAGAGAACCTCAAAACGAAGCAAGATGAGTAAAAGTCACAGAAAAGGCACTTTTGGCAGGTGGCAAATGAAAGGGTCACCAGAAATGAAAAAGTAGAAAAATATATCAGGGAAAAATGTCTCGTCTTTTCACTGCATTTGTTTCTGCTGCACAGATGAAAAGCAGACGTGTCCCAGTGGACTGTTGGTTGAGTTTGTGTTTGGCGTGTGGTGATAATGGCCGGGCCTCATCACGTAGTCTCACCCCCCATTCTCTTTATGCTGCCGTCTGCTCTCCCTCATGGCCTCTGCAGAGGGAGGCCTCCACTGCTACAACAGCCGCCAAGACAAAAGAGAGCATGTGCAGCGCTGATGGCCCGCCGCTGCTGCACAGAGGATTACAGAACACCCATGAGTGGAGTAGGAGGCCTGCAGATCTGTGTGGGTGACTCCAATGGGGGAGGATCTCAGCCACAGGGAAACAAACGGAGGAGGAGGCAGGAGAGGCAATTCCCAGTTACAGTCTCACAATGATGCTCAGACACATGTAGAGATGGACAGGAAGTAGACTGGGTCCAGGGCTCTGAAAGACAAGGCAGAATATGAGAATGTGTGTATGTGTGCGCGCGCATGTGGGGGGTACCAAGCCTGGCAGGGAGAAGCTACACAGATCAGCAGCATTTTGTTTTTGTCTCACATGAATAACAACCTTTTGTGTTCAGCACATGTCAAATGGATCGGGTTTGTTTACATTGGAGACCTAACAGTACAGCTGAAAATGATCCACTATTCAGAACACAACACACACAACACACAACACACACACACGGCCTGCTGCCAGGGATCCACATGACCCAAACCCAGTCTGGAGCGCTCCGTCGGGTGCCTGGTTATGACCCTGTGTGACCTTTTACCCGCTCTGCTACAACTCAACCATAAATCAATTAAGAGTTGTTAAAGCGGTCCGCCTTGTGGAGCTAATCCTAATCCCACTGAAGGCTCCCAGACTGCTGGTGAACAGTACCGTTTACCCGACCCCTCCTAGAAACTCTAAACACAGAACGACCCCCCCCCCCCCCCCACCTCCCAGCTTATAATATGATTTGTATTTTTGAAAAGATCTAAATCATATTTTCAGATTACCAACAACAGAAGGGAACATAATATCTGAAAAGCCACTTTAAATCCACCTTAACCCCTTAAACAGAAGAATCAGAATCATAAGTTTTTATTGCCATATGTGTGCCAAGTCACAACATTAGGAAATTGCTGCAGTATTTTGGTGCAGAAGGTAAGATAGAAAAAAAATTAATTAAGAGATAAGCAAATATAAGGACTAATAAACACTCATGATAAAATTATTAATGTAAAAAGTGGCAAGAATTAGAGAAGCAGCAATATACTCCGTGAAGGTATTTATCTGTGTTTGTTGAATGGTTCAAGCACAGCATCGGGTCACGTGACTGGGACCAATCAACTTGAGTGGGCTGCCCTAGGATGTTCATTCAAAAGTCCAACTGCAGAGGGGAAGAAACTGTTTTTGTGGCGAGAGGTTCTGGTCCGAATGGATCTGAGCCTTCTGCCAGATGGGAGCGAGTCGAAGAGACTGTGTCCAGGGTGAGACGAGTCAGCTATTATCCGACCTGCACGCCTCAATGTCCTAGAGGTGTACAGATCTTGAATGGAGGGGAGTTTGCAGCCAATGACCTTCTCTGCAGAGCGCACGACACACTGCAGCCGTGACTTCTTCGAAGTCAAGCAACTTTAGATTTTAGGAGCCAACTCCATTCATGTTGGAATTTATTCCCAGCATGTTATTCACAGATTTATTTTAGTTTAGATAAGAGTGGGTACAGGTTGTCCAAAGGGTGGTAGGACACATTAAACCATCATTTCATTTCCTATTTTGATGAATAATGATGCATTCTTCAGTTCTTATGACCCTCAGAGTCAACAACAACCAAGCTTAGGGATGGGTACCTTTGACATTTGAATCGATCCTGTACTAATTCCCGGTACCTACAAATCGATACCGGTACTTAACGGTACCAATTTGATACTTTTGAGTGTTTATTATTTTAATTCTCTTTTATAATTAAATATATATTTTTCTCAATATATAACAATATTTGATATATATCACAATAAATAACATTCAACTGTTTGTATTTTAACATTGTCCTTGTAGTTTTATAAGCTGATAATTAAACTGAAGCAAACATCTTTACTGTGAACTAAATTTACTGTGTATCTTCATTCCTTTTGCCGTCTTTTTTCATTTGATTTTTCCTACTGGGAAGTTAGCATTTCCGAGGAGAAAGCGAACACACCATTAGCTGATAACAACGGTGGCAATGGAAGCTAACATATCAAGCTAACGTTATCTTAAACAGTTTATTTAACTGCTGGAGCAGATTAAGACGATGATGCCTCACACTTAGATCATTGTCGCTGGTTTCATCTTCACCCAATCACCCGTCGCATTTAGTAAAGTTAAGCCAAACTTTAGAGTGCGTTCATGTTCTTCCAGTCGGAAATTTGGAGTTCCGAGGAGAAAGCGAACGCACCATTAGCGAAACGGAAGCTAACATATCAAGGTAACGTTATCTTAAACATTTTATTTACCTACCGGAGCAGATTAAGATGAGGATGTATCACTTAGATCGTTGTCGCTGGATTCATCATCACCCAGTTACCCATCACATTTAGTGAAGTGGACCCAAGCGTTAGCGTGCGTTCTTCTTTTTACCATGCTGCACTGTTTACAACTCGCTCGCAGGGACCAACGACATAACGCTCTTGCGCATGCGTAGCTGTCTTGGCAAGTTCTCGTTATGAAGGACGGGTACCGAAACGAGGCACCGTTTGAAACGACGTGAATCGGTGCTCGGTCGGTACTATGGAATTCGGCCGGTACCTTAAAAAGTACCAAATTCGGTACCCATCCCTGTGATTAATGCAGACATAAGACAGTAAACCTGTAGAACCTGTTCTCGTGAACCATAAAGGAGCTGCTGAGGTACCAGGCCCAGTGGATGAGCAGTAGCCTGTTTTCATCTTCAGCACTTAGAACACATCATGCTAATGAATCACACAGGGGAGACGTAGGAGCACTCTGGTGGGACGCACTTTTCAGAGGCGGGACAAACAGACTCATCTCTAATGTTCAGGCTTCCTCCAAACTAAGGGAACAAATGGATGACTAAAGTTATTTTTAGTTTGTTTTGCAGATGCAAACCAACATGATAACCTAACAGCTGTACTCACTGTGACCTGAGCAGAGACAAAACAGATGATGTTGTACAGAACACTGGGTAACAAGTGTCAACAAAAACCAGGATAAGAGAAAATAGACCAGTGGCTCAGGGTCACCACAGTAACCAGTAAAATGTGTCCTCCCCACCTCCCTGACAGGAACTCTCAGAAAAACAGCTGCTGGGTTGAAACCGGAAACTGGTAAAGCAGGAAATGCTTTGATGGTTCCCCTGGCGAAAGTTGAGGTTTCTACTGGGTCTGATGAAGGAAGTAAAAACGGCCTCACTTCCTGTTTGGAGCTGTGAGACTGGGACCCAGTGGGAGCTAGACTCTCTGGACTCTGAGGGGACCTGAGAGGACAGCATCAGTCCTAGAGCAGGTGGAAGACTTGCACACCAGCGTTTAGCCGTATGATGAGTGACATCAACATGGAGAACCTGGAGCTTTTTCATAAAACATTAGAAATGTTACCTCAAAATGCAAGTTTACTCCAACTTCCTGCGATCAGTTTAAGCTGATGTTCTTTCCATGACTCTACCTGAGCTACTGAGCTCCAGAGGGGGTGGGGCTACATCACCTGGTTTCTGTGGGGATATTTCCTTTTTTCTACCTCAGATTAAGAAAGTAGAAGTCAGCACATCACTGTTGATTGAAACTAATCTATGCATTCTTCCCCCAAAGTTGGAGAAAATAAACAAAAAATCCCAACAATCAGCCAGAAGAGCAGCATTGATCTCAAACCAGTCTCTGCTGGTTTCATCTCTTTATCCCAGTGGTTGCCACAGCCCTTCAGTTTTGTTTCGTTAAACTGAAACTTTCCAACTCAAGACTAGAACATGGAGAGTTGGACCAGAATAAACCACAGCAAGCCCAGTCTGGGTAGTCTGACTGACCGTAGTTAACTACGTTAACGCAAATCTGCTTCATCCGAATGGATTTTATGGGATGGATAATGAAGCTTTGTCTCTGGGGGAATCTTGTGGATCAAACAGGAACAGGAAGCTTTGACTCACTGCTACAGATTTTCATCAGCAGCAGATGGGAGACGCCCCTCCCCCCGATGTAGATTATGGGTAAGGTTTATAAAGACGTTGTTATAAAAACTACAGCTAATCCTACGGTGTTAAAAAGGTTAATCGTGAATTACTGAATGCTTTGGACCCTTGAGGTTTTTCTAGTGGTGTGTGTGTGTGGTGGTTGGGGGGGGGGGGGGGGGGGGGGGGTGTCCAATAAGACACCAAAACATGATTCCAGCAAAACGCCCTTCCCCCCAGCATCAAACTGGTACCCAGATCACATCAACTGTAATGAGAGATATAGAGGGAGGATGAGGCCATCCAGAACCTGATCTGGGTTAAACTGGCTCATTAACAAACCAGAACCCCACAGGTGATCAGGTTCTTAAATCACTCAAGGGGGAGGGGCTGCCTGTGGGACTTTGACATTACATAGGTGGTGTGTTCACCTAAGCGCCAGAACATTAAATAAAGGTCTAATAAGTGTCAGCACAGCCTCACACTGAGGTGAAACTGTAAACCTGCAGCAACAAAGACAACAAAAACTATATATCAGCTTTCTTCTAACATGCATTTTATTCACCAGCAGCTAAAAAAAGGTTCAAAGAAATGCAACTGCAACCCAGAAACAGCCTTTCAGGACAATTTTTCATATTTCTAACAGCGGCTAAACAACTCCAGTTGTTTCACTCGAGCCAGAAAATTCCAGGAGCAGCTGGATGACATTAAAACAAACCCATGGTCGATTAGCTGCTTCAGCGTGGAAAACAGACTGAAACTGGCCTTGAAGCTGTGCAGAGTCAGACAGCAAGGCAGAAAGAGGACAGGGTCAGGTCTTCACACCTGTGTGTCATCAGTCTGCTGAGGGTGAACAACCAAACTAAACCCTCATTTAAGGGAACGGTCAGCAGAACCGGTTGGGTGAAGACAAGCAGCAAACCGTCCACTAGACAGCTGAAGCACTCCTGCATCGCGTTTCTGCTTCAGACCACAAACGAAACTAAGAGGATTATTCTCTAGAAAACTACTTAAGTGACCCACTGACAACGGTCTAACTCGAACAGAACACGTTTTATTTCTGATCAAATGAAAAAATTTAATTCTGGACGTAAACGATGCTCACACTGAATTTTTTGGTAAACGTGAACTGGTGCTAGTTTACCGCTGCTGGAACTGAGCTCCTAAGTTTCTGCTGCTGAAACCCAGATGCAACCTCAGGTATAAACACCCCTGCATCTTTCTCTAGTAAACAGAAAATTACATTTAAGCTGCTTCTGGTCGTTGACTCATCTTACACCAACTGCTGAGCTCTGAATAAACTGGACAGATGTGTGCTGAGCCTGGAGGCCAGGTCCGGTTAGCAGAACCATCATCTGTTTGGGTCCAACGATGAAATGACCCAAAACTACAACCGAGTTCACTGACCCAGGACGAGCAACTGTGGCTCGCTCCAACAGACTAAAGTGCTCTGACACCAGTTTGACTAGATTCTGTATTTTTTAACCTTTGAAACAGTCTTTAAATTGATTATATTCTTACATACAGACGTGTGAATATTGCTGATTGTTTTCTAGAATCCTTTTGCATATGAAAACTACCATGCAAATGAACTTTAAAACAACTTTCCGTTGGGCTGAACAAACATTTTTGGGCGGACTGAATTTCAGACTGACCTTTGACCCTTTCCTGAACTTTGTTAAGTGGCTTAGACATTAACCCCAAAGCTGTCCTCCTCCACACCACGGTGCTTTTATAATGTTTAGCAGCAGCTTTACTCAGACCATCTTTAAGCAACGATCTTGTTATTCATTAAATAAAACTGCAGAAACAGAAGTGCAATCCAGATTTATTTATACAGCACATTTATCAACAGCGATAAAGGGAAACGAGATAAAATAGTCAAATCAAGAGGTAAAAAAAAAAGAATTGAGTAGAACATCTGAAGGTTAACAATCATTAAAACCAGAAGTATGCTAACAGGCTAACAAATGCCTAACAGCTCCCTGATCAGCTGTTATACAGGTGATTTACAACAGGTGGAAAACTTCCTTCTACATTAGCATCCATCAGAATAAATAGTGTAAAAACTGGAGATGCTCAGATTAGTTCAAGTTGCTGCAATGAACCAAGCTTGGTTTGTTTTTAAAGGTGGCGTATCAGAATTGTAGAGAATGCAGATCTGTGTTGTCCACCATGTTAAACAACCAGTATGCAACATTACTGGTGGCTGTTGCTCTGTCTGGTTTAAAATACGTCCAAACTGCAGACATATTCAGTCTTCTGAGGAGAGACGTAACGTAGTGCTGGCATTGCCGTCCATTAGAAAACGAATACTGATGTAGAGGAATGGGTCATAACTAAAACTAAGCCACTCCGTGTGAAAATATCGAACCCAGGATGAATTTAAAAGCCATTCTTATTTTATAAGGTTAAACCTGATGTTTACCACCTAATTTCGGTTCCTTTGAAAACCACACAGTGTGATCAGGTTTTGATCAGGTTTTCAGACCAGAGCATCCATTTATGACTATAAAACAGCTGATAGTTTATCTGAGATCTCAGGATGACACGAGTGATATTTCAGCAGCATCAGGTCATCAGATCACATCATCCCAGCATTAGAAAAACTAGAAACATACTGTAAAACAGAAGTTGTAGAGCTAAAAGCAAAAAAATAAATAAAACTGAAAAAAAAAAATAAATAAATAAATAAAACGTTTTTCCACAGGTGAGCTTCGGTCACTGTGGCCAAGAGACTTTGACCTTTGCAGACTTTCTGATCTAAACAAAAAAACTCCATCAACCAAAAGCTGTGGCCTTTAGGTTGATGTTCCGATCAGATTTGTGTCTCCTCCTTTACTTTCCTGACTCAGCAGAATAAAATTTGCTGCCGTGTTTTCCAACCTCGCCTCTAAAACCTTCCTGGGAGTCAGGCGGTACCAGCAGAGACGAGGTCCGAAACGACAGAACTTAAAGCAAAGATCACTTAGAGGAGGACAGCATCAACCATCTGATACGTCAAACCCGCATGTTTATACAAACTTGTGTGGACAAAACAAACATTTTCCAGGAGCATTTACACAGCCCGGTTCCAGCCTTCAGAACAAAAACACTCAAACATTTACACTGAACCGACCAGGAAGTTAAGCAAGGGGCGAACATGTCCTGAAAAAGAGTGTCAGCATAACAAGGTGCGCCAGCCTCCTCGCCATGGCAACCCATCGAGTCCCGGCTGTTCATCACAACTGCAGCCAGTTTGTCTCCCGAGGCGGAGACAAACCCCAGAGAGACAAAAGACCAGATTTAATTGTTCATCTTGGTTCCAGTTGGCTGCTGCTGAAGTTTCTACCCAGAGCTCACCTGCTGACGTTCCATCACCAAATCAGCAGCAGCAACCATGGAGATGAGGAGCCTCCATGGAGCCACAGACCCACAACAGAACAGGAGCAACCGCCTCCATTAGAAAGATCACCCGCTCACTGTTTGCACACAAGAATCCGCCTCTGAAGGCTTCAGCGGATGTTCGACCCAAACCAGAACAAGAACCAAGAGACTCAAGCCCCATAACACACCTGAACAAGACCTGCTGTGAAACAGAACATTTTATGTTTTTAATCTGAATTAAGTAATTTAAGTTTCTTAAGTATACGTTAACATTTAAATTTACTCATAGAAACAAGTTAAATTAACCAATGAGATTTAAATGTGACAAAAGTAACAACGTCACTGGATTTATGCTTTAACTGCCTGCTTATGTTTCATTATTACCTCTATAAAAACACAGAATTTAGACAAATGCATGATTATTAATAGGGATGTGAGAAGTTAACCGTTAATTGCCCAGAATGTCATAACCAGGTAAAATAGCTTTGCCCGGTTAACTGCGTAGTTCACGTCTATTTGCTGCGCGTGGCTGTACTATATTTGTCCCACTAGATGGCGCTAGAGAGCCACTATCAAAATATGTCAACTTGAAAGCACAGAAGAGGTGAACTCTTCACATGATCAAATAAATGTACTCAAACATGAAGCAGCTATGAAAGAGCACAGCGTGAGAGCATTATATTCTTGGTAGTGAACACAAAGTTGAGCCCCGCAATAAAGCAGAATATGGAAATGAAGAAACTAGCCCTGACTCTCCTGCTTGGAGACAGCTATTTTGCGTCAGCCTCCTTAGACTTTTCATTATTTTACTAAACAAATTACTCTAAGAGGAAGGGTTAAGTGTGGCCCCCTGAACATACCGATAAGAAGCGTGGTGTGTTTAATGGCCGACAGCCCGCTGCACAACAGGTCCTAATGAATATTTCAGCTTTAATCCCACTCTCTTGTTTTTGACTGTTGTAACATGAGTGGGACTCAGGTTGTGCTTCAGAATTATTTCAAAAAGAGTAAACAAAAAAGCGTTTGCATTATTTATAGAGCGGGGCAAAGTTTTGTTCGTGTTGGAGTGGGCTTACAGATAACCGGGTAACAATCGTTAAGGGCTTTAATAACCTGTTAAATTTTGGAAAAGGTGCATCCCTAATTACTAATTAAGTGGATTTTAGTCCGCCTGATCTGGCATAGTTGTGAAGTTTAGGACCATGTGTTTATTTCCTTTTGCTTAATTTCCCCTCAGCTGCCTGTCCGACTAGAAGCTCCTATAAAATAAATAAATAAAATAAAAACTTTAAATGTCAGGTTTTATATGAATACTAGGAAGTAGGGCTGAGCAATAAATCGAAAATTTATTGTTATCAAAATTTCTGACTCTTAGAGAATTTTTTCTACGTCAATAAATTAAATAATAAAAAATGAAAACTTAATACACGTGACAGCCCCATCTAGTGGACAACTTTTGTTTCTGCGCATACTTGTAGTTATCGTCCATTTATCGTTATCGAGGTGAAATCCTCAACATATTGTGATATTGACTTTAGGCCACATCGCCCAGCCCTACTAGGAAGTACTGGTTAGAGACGGTCTGGTGTAAATGTTAAATGGTACCAGTACCAGAGACGCTGTTTAAAGAAAAAACTCCTCTTTTAGGAAATTTAATAATTAAAAAAGGTCATTGTAGAGCATCAAATTATAAACTTACTTTTTGCACATTAACACAACTAATTAAGTCTTAAAAACACAAAGACAGGTTTATTTGGCTTCTTTAACTCGATTAATTTTTATTATCCATGACTTCTCTATATACACGTTTTTAGTTTAGATTATTTTAAAGCTTTTCTGTTTAGTGAGTTGTGTTAAACTGGTTTTTCTTCAGAGACTCGTTTAAATGTTTTAATATCGCATTAAAACATTTAACTATGTAAAAAAAAACTTATTGACACATACTTGGTTTACCATTTCATTTTGAACCTGACCCGTTTCAGCCACACTGATCCAGAACAAAAGCTTCAGAGCAAAAAGCCAAATGCCACAGCTGATGTTTGTTTTCTTCATCAGCTGTACATTTTCTGTGATCCAACAGGGCAAACAGATCCATCAGCTGTGAGTCAGAACCAGAACCAGGCAGGACCGAGCTGTGGCTCCGCTCGTTAATGAGAGTTCTGGGGAAGTGGAGGCCCAGCAGCGGGGCCTTTCCTGTTCCGATCAGAAATCAGTTTCAGCTGAAATCTCAAAACCAGCTCAAAGAAACTGATCCATCTTTAAACGAGCCTCTCACGGCACCGAGCTATTGTTAATCCCGGTTTGCAGTTCGTGTTAAACTTTTCCTTGTTCCGTTCTGGGAAGAAGAAAAAACTTCAGTTGCGCAAACATTTCAGGTCCCGAACAAGAAATGTGGGTGGAAATCAGTCTAGAGGCGAAACTAACCCGAGTTGCTTCACTAACTGACCCCAAAACTAAACATGTCGATTTTTTCCTCTGATAAAATCATCCAACAGCAAAACAAAAATGTATTCAACAACGTGGCCGTGTTTTCGTTACAGGTCCCGCTTTGAGATCCAACAGTGCTCTCTCAAATACAAACACAATCCTGCTTTTTAATCTAGAAACCCAGAAGAAAGCAGGAGTTCATCCTTCACAAACAGATGTGAGGGGAAGCGAACGGAACCGAGCTAACCCGCTCCTTGGGTCGGTTAGCTCACTAGCTTGCTAGCGCTTCGGAACACAATAGAGGGCTCAGAAATGTACATATTATAATCGTATCTTACCTAACGAAATCGGTGGAAGCCCGCGTAAAGTGTGGGTCGGTCGTCGGTGCTCCCCACAGCCGCTTCACCGTGTTTCCGACATGTTTGTGAAGTTGCTGCCGTGCGGACGCAGATGAAATGAGCCACACGGATGTTCCCCCTCCCCTTCTTTCGGACTCCCACACCACCCACCGCCGCCGCCTGGGGGAGACACTGGCTCTGGCTCTGCCCCGTTTAAAGGTACGGAACCTCCGCAGTGCCAACATCCTGAACCACCACAGGTGGATACACTGATGCTGTTTACAGGTAATATATGGAACCCTGAAAGTGCCCACATCATATCATCCACAATCATAGAGGGGGAGGGGAGGCTTTGCTTTACCCTGTGTAAAGGTACGGAACCTCCAGAGTACCCACATCACACTGTTTACAACTTTGGAACCCTCACAGTGCCCAAATAATCCACAATCATATTTTCGAGAAACCTTAGCCTCGCCTAAAGCCTAGTTTATGCTTCTGCATCAAGGAAGAGACTCACACACAGGGACAGAGACGTTTTGCTCTCGGACTTTTCCGTCTCCTGAGTGTTGCAAAGCAATTCCCGCCAGGACAACAGAGGGCACAGCGCTCTGCAAATGCTTGCTGCAAAATGTTTTTTTTTTTTTTTTTTTTTTACTTTTCCAGTCACGGGTGAAGAAAACTTTCTTTTTTTCCTTTTTTTTTTTGAGTTTTTCCACAAGGTAGTATTCTTCAAGCTTCATGTCTGCCGTAAATATCTTCGGCTCTCTTTATTTTATTTTTTTAGAGCGCAATGGCGGTGCAGTTGATGAAAGCGGCGACCTGACCAATCACAAGCTTGCATTCTCTGTCTCATTTGACGGATGTTTAGAAAAGTGGGCTTGACTTCGTCCTTGCGAGTCTACTGGAGAGCCCTTGCAAGACAGATAATGGCGTAATGCAGAAGCATAACTAGGCTTAAAGGTACAGAACCACAGAAGTGCCCACATGAAATTATATTTTATGCCTTTTGATTTTGTTCTCTCAGTATGTAGTGTACAATGCTTTGTTTGCCTTGTGTGAAAATTCAAATTGAAATATGGAACCCTGAAGTGCCCAAGAGGATAAAGACACAAATTTGATACAGGACACTAACCATTTAAGGCCCAATTCCAATACTCGCACTTGCACCCTTGCGCCCTTCAATTGCACATTCCCAACAAGGGGTGCGAGTGTGTAGGGTGTCCTGATTCTCAAGTGCGGAAGTTGATCACGCATTGCACCCTTAATCTGCACTTCACCCAAGTCCACAGCGATGCGGACCTCGGGCGAGGGTATTACCCACAAGTCATTGCTGCGGGAGAAATGGCTCAAGTTCCTTAGGATGATTATTTGATGCTCTGAATGTTTTAGACAAAGCAGCAATGAAGTAAAATTTATTTCAAACAATTGCTTTATTATTTGTTTGAAAGTTTTTAATAAAGGTTTTTGAGAAAAGTTTCACAGCGATCAGCATCCCGGCATGCGTTGCGATCTCAGTGCTCCCTGTCTCAATTCTGTTATTATTTGCACACTTGTGTACTACGTACTCGAACCCTAGTGCACACTTTCTCCAAGTGCACTTTGCAGAAGACCGCAAGGCGCAGTGGAGTATTGAGATTGGGCCTAAATTGGACCAAAAATATGCGCCACTTAGTGGCTGGTTCTTATATATGTTCAAAGCTTCAAACAATCCAAGAAAAAAAAAAGAGACAGTACTTTATGAAGAACAAAAGCTACAAATAATTCTTCCAGGTGTTGACACTTGTTTATTCACGTAGCTTTTACATTGTTGCTATAAGTTCAAACACTCAATTTACATTTTACAAAATAAAAAAGAAAGCATTAATTCGCAATGACATTTTTGTCAGCATTAATTGATGCAATAATGTGATAATAACTTGCCCAGTCCTATTTTATTGTTTTATTGTGTCAGGTATGGCCCTCCACAGAACCCATCTCCTTTTAAATATCACCACAAATCAAACCATAAAAACTAAATCAATATCTACAATCAATTTCATCTGTGGGTTATCTTTACTTTAAAAAGTGAAATCTGCTTAATGAAGTTTTGGAAGTAGATGATTTTTGTTCTTAAATAAATTTCTGTTAGGAATAAACATTTTCCAACTTTAATGAAGAAACATTTAATGGACAAAATCCTTAAAATATCAACATGCATGAAAAAGTTTTCATTTCTTTTATCCACAGATAGAAAAATACCTAATTTATTTCTCTACATAAATGAAAGTGTGTGATTATTTGCATGAGCTGCACTACCCATCTGTTTAATATCTTAGAACAGTCAGCACGGTGGGGGAGGGCTGATGGTTTGGGCTGGTTCTGCAACTACAGGACTCTCTCCAGGAACTCCTATGGGAGAGTCTAGTATGAGAGCATCTGTCTGACAGCTGGAGCTTGGACCAAACAGGGTCATGAACCTGAACCATGGTCCCAAACACAGCAGCAGAACAGCTGGACTTGGTTCTTCCCTTTTCGGTTCTTACAGGTTTTTGGATACATCTTTGGTTCTTTTGGTTTTCTAATGTGGAGTGTAATAGACTCTTATTTCAAAGCCAGTCCCTGAGAAATGAAATGCTTCCTAACCTAAATAAAGAAAAGCTTCAAGTCTGTCTGAACGATGATGCTTTAGCTCCAATTAAATGTTTTTCTTTTGACTTTTTAATCTCCTTTTACCCCCAGCAAGCTGCAGGAAGCCATTAGAGGCTCAGACATGAGCATGTTTCATCTGAGTTACTGTAACAGCTGCTTTCAGGCCAGTATCTCCACAGCCTTCGTTATGTAACCGACATTAAAGAGCTCAAAGTGACAGATCTGATTCTGCAGAGCTAAGAATCAGTGCATAGCTGTTCATTAAAGAAAACCAAAGTTTTTAAACTCTGAGTGGAAATGTGATTTAAAGGCTCTCTGTTGAGTTTTGCTGAGTTCTACTTTGTTACCTTCAAAGATCTGCAGGTGGCAATGAAAGTATGCATAGGATGCTAATTATTCAGGTGAGAGTGGAACAATCAAAACCAGCAGCTTTAATGAGAAGTGAGGAAAAGATAGTTTCCTGGTGGTGAAACGCTTCCTTCTTCTTTTAAACCTGATCTACTACTTTTCTGTAGAAACTGGACAAGTGACTAATGACGTTGTCGTCTTCCTCCGCTTATCCGGGTCCGGGTCGCGGGGGCAGCATCCCAACTAGGGAGCTCCAGACTGTCCTCTCCCCGGCCACCTCCACCAGCTACTCCGGCAGGACCCCAAGGCGTTGCCGGACCAGATTGGAGATGTAACCTCTCCAACGTGTCCTGGGTCGACCCGGGGGCCTCCTGCTGGCAGGACATGCCCGAAACACCTCCCCAGGGAGGCGTCCAGGAGGCATCCTGACCAGATGCCCAAACCACCTCAACTGACTCCTTTCGATCCGGAGGAGCAGCGGTTCTACTCCGAGTCCCTCCCGAATGTCCAAGCTCCTCACCCTATCTCTAAGGCTGAGCCCGGCCACCCTACGGAGGAAACTCATTTCGGCCGCTTGTATCCGCGATCTCGTTCTTTCGGTCATTACCCAAAGCTCATGACCATAGGTGAGGATTGGGACGTAGATTGACCGGTAAATCGAGAGCCTGGCTTTCTGGCTCAGCTCCCTCTTCACCACGACAGATCGGCTCAGCGTCCGCATCACTGCAGACACCGAAGCAATCTGCCTGTCGATCTCCCGATCCCTCCTACCCTCACTCGTGAACAAGACCCCGAGATACTCAAACTCCTCCACTTGAGGTAGGACCTCTCTCCCGACCCAGAATTGGCAGGCCACCCTTTTCTGGTCGAGAACCATGGTCTCAGATTTGGAGGTGCTGATCCTCATCCCAGCTGCTTCACACTCGGCCGCGAACCTACCCAGCAAGATCTGAAGGTCAGAGCTGGATGAAGCTAGGAGGACCACATCATCCGCAAAAAGCAGAGACGAGATTCTCCTGCCACCAAACTCGACACACTCCACACCACGGCTGCATCTAGAAATTCTGTCCATAAAGGTAATGAGCAGAACCGGTGACAAAGGGCAGCCCTGGCGGAGTCCAACCCTCACCGGGAACAGGTCCGACTTACTACCGACTATGCAGACCAAACTCACGCTCCTCTGGTAAAGGGACTGAATGGCCCTTAACAGAAAGCCACCCACTCCATACTCCTGGAGCTTCCCCCACAGGGTGCCCCTGGGGACACGGTCATAAGCCTTCTCCAAATCCACAAAACACATGTGGATTGGTTGTGCAAACTCCCATGCCCCCTCCATCACCCTTGCAAGGGTATAGAGCTGGTCCACAGCTCCACGGCCAGAACTAAATCCACATTGCTCCTCCTCAATCTGAGATTCAACTATCGATCGGACCCTCCTCTCCAGTACCTTGGAGTAGACCTTTCCAGGGAGGCTGAGGAGTGTGATCCCCCTATAGTTGGAACACACCCTCAGGTAACCCTTCTTAAAGATGGGGACCACCACCCCGGTCTGCCAATCCACAGGAACTGTCCCCGATGACCACACAATGTTGCAGAGACGTGTCAACCATGACAGCCCTACAACATCCATAGCCTTGAGAATACCCAGGACGAATCTTATCCGCCCCCGGGGCTCCGCCACTTTGTAGTTCTATCACTATCAGTTATTTGTCAGGACCCTACCTACAGGTGATGTTACTTGCAGTGGGTGGGGTCTCTTGGGGACCAGAAAACATCCTCAGAACTAATTAGACTCTACTTTCTGGTGTTTTAAACAACTCTTGCTAAACAGAAGTCATGGAAATGTGTTCGAACACCATATTACCAATTTAAAACCTCTACAGTTTAGCAAGAGACCATTTTGTTTGGGCAGGTCTGTAGTGCTCCCTGTGTGCAGTCAATGGCCACAGAGGTGCATACATTTTAAAAAGGGTGGCATTTTGCGTCTCTAGCAAAGGAGCACCCCACGAATCCAAAAAAGCTCCCAACAAGAAAGTGCCAAAACTTGCAGTTCTCCTCTTGTCCGCATGGGGCTGGCACCAGAAGTGAGCAAATTCTAATTGACTCCTATGTTAAAAAGGCCAATTTCACGGCAGAAATAAACATGTTTACAGCCTGGTTAAAAAAAAAACATTTTAGGTTTAATAGATCTTGTTTACAGTCTTAACAACTCTGATTTTTTTTTGTAACTTTTCTGTAATTAAATGCTTGAAACTCTGAATAATTCAATTTGATCAACAGGTAGCAAGTAAGCAAGATATCAGTAAGCCAAACTATATTTCTGTTCTTTATTTTGCTGGTTGAGTGGAGGGAAATTCTGTGCAATGAGAGATGTGAAACACAGCCAAAATGGTGGTGGTGAGAACCTCCTATTTTGGGGCATTTATGCAAAAAGAGAAAAATGGGCAGTACTATGTCTAGAGTCTAAGTCACGCCCATCTACTACTGGACCATGGGTCCCCAGAAGCGTCATTTGGAATTCTAGGCTATCCTATGTCTTCACTTTAATAGGCTGAGGCTGTTCCCAAATTAGAGTACATCTCTAGTCATCAGATTAAATGTGTCAATTAATTAAAAAGCACCCCTAGTGTCCGTTAGGGAAACCAAAAGTGAATCTGATCTTTTTGCTGTGCGTTCATCTTTTCAAACACCTTAATCTAACAGTTGAAATGTCTACTCGTTCTTCATTAGTTTTTACGGGAGAGCCGATACCAGCTCCACTCTTAGGTTGCAAGTGTAGAATTCTGGCCACAGAGTGACATTTCATTAACACTTTAAAGTGTCATTTTAGAACATACTGGCTCAAGAAAATTATTTAAAAATATTAAAAAGTTGCATAGTATCCCTTTAACATAGAAATGACTTAAAGATGTGGATCATTAATTTAATCAATACATTTTCAATGGTTTCTAGAACTGAATGCCTTTAAGTCGTTCTCAGGGGCCAAAAAAACCAGTGCACCATTTCCAGGGACTAGAGGTGAGCCACATCACAGCTGAGCTGTTTTGGAGTCATTTGGACATCTCTCTGAATGGTCAGCAACGCGACTCTACCAATGACAGGCACCGTAAATGTTTTATCTCCACAAATAACACAAGCCTGGAGGAGTTCTGTGGTGTGGTGGAGTTGCTAACGCTAATTGTTAGCTTCTACTGAGACGTTCTCTGCAGTTACCTGGACGCTAAACCAACAACCTACCCCAATGTGAGTCAAGATAGGTGAGTCAATAAATGTTAAGTGACAGTGTGATGTGGACCTGTTGGGCTTTTGAAAATCTCAAGTTTCTCTGTCTATTTTCTATCAGAAGCTAATGCAGGAGATAGGTGTAGGAGACGAGTTTCATGTCCAGCTTTCATTGAAAATCTCAAAGTGACCAATTGGAATCAGAAATATGATTAAAAAAATTTTTTTTCAGTGTTCCACATCTTTAAAGATGCTCAGAAGTAAAGTTTCTGCAAATTCAGTCCGTTTAAATTTACTGTATTCTGCTTAATTAAAACCAAACAGCAGAGTAAAATGAGCTCATTAACCTGTGAAACTGAATAAAGGAGAATTCAGGGTTTATTGGGAACATCGTGTGTCTTATGAAGATGTTTTACTGTTACAGAAACACTCCAAGCAGCTAAAAACAATCACAACTGTTTATTTTGTGGAAAACACGTTTAATGGATCTTTTTGATGGATCAGTGAAATGAGAACATACAGATATAAATGTTTCTAGCTACAGTCAGGGCCAGATGTTAATAAGAACCAGCAGAGCGCTGGTATCAAATAATTCTCTATTGTGGTGGAAAGTCACATTGAGACTGAGGATAACCTGACTTCAGCTGCTGCAGAGAGTAAATTTAGTCCAAAAATCAATGCAGGTCATAGATCCACAAAGACACACTGCAGATAGACGGAAATCAATCAGAGATGTAACGTGTGGCTGGTTTCTCTCTACTTGTAGAACTCATGCTCCTGCTCGTCCTTCTTGATGACGGTCTTGTAGGCTTTTTCAAAGTCTTTGGCGAGGACGATGTATCTATTCTCACGCACCGCTAACATGCCAGCCTGAGTCAGAGGAGAAACAAACGACTTTAAGTTAAAAGATTAAGAGAAAATTCTAAATAAAGAAACGATGGAAGTTTGAATTCACCTCCTGGCAGATGGAGTTGATGTCGGCTCCAGAGATCTTGTCTGGTCGGGCGACATCTTAGCAGCAGTTAAAGAAGCAATACGAAAAACAAGATGTGTGTGTGTGTGTGTTGAGTTTAAAGCTTTATCTCAACATTAAAACCACTGAACTCAGCACCACAAAAGGTTTGCTACAGAATGGGGATTAAAACACTAAACATTTCTATCTGATGTCACCCGATATAGAAAAGGTTAAATCAGAGGTCTGGAGTAGAAACATGTTGGTGAAAATCTAGCATCCTGGTCTCTAGGATGTCCTCATTTGTTTAAAGAAACAGAGCAGTTTCCTGCTGCTTCACCCTACTGGTTGAAAGTAGAATTACAACTGTCAAACAACCCTGCTGTAGCAAGTTGTAGCTAGCACTAACATGTGCCAACTAATTACTAAAATATCTTTGTTACATTCATACCGTGTTAGATATCCAATTTAATTTTCCTGATAAGGGTTTGTTGTTACCTTTGTTGACATGTTTCGCAGACAAGAGGACCAAAACATACAAAATGCTTTAGAAACCTGTGGGTACCCAACATGGGCAATTAACAAAAGGAAACAAAGGAACAAGTAAGAACAAAAAGAAATGATGAACCAAAACAAAAGAAATACAGAACTTACAGATTACAAACACAGAAAACAGAATAATACAAACTTTGCAATAAAACATACACAGGAGAAACAGGACACCAACTCAACACACGAAAAATAGAGCAAAATAAGTGTGAGAAAAAAACAAGTCCAAGACACACAAGAGCAACAAAACAAGAAGCAGAAAGCACAATATAAAAATCATCCATGACTGTACAAGAAAAAATCATATAGTGGACTGGGATAACACACGGTCATAAACACAGCAACAGAAATTCAAGATAGATCAAAGAAGCAACTGAGATAAGGAGACGTGGACCCAGGACCACGAACACGGATTAAGGAGTTTACACGCTGGACCACTCACGGGACACGGTGATCAGTGGAGAAGATGCAGGCAGCAGAGGATGATGTCGTCCTCTGCTGCCCACGGATAAAAGGAAGGGACGCCATCAACATCCGGCAGTTGCTGTGACGAAGGCGGCAGTGAACGTCAAAACATGTCAGCAAAGGCAACACCAAACCTTTGTCGCCTTGGGTACAATGAAGAACTAAAGAAAATGTAATACTAAAATAAACCAAGAAGTAAACAGATCCACACTGTTGGACAAAAATATTATTACTTGCAAGTCCAGTAGCAACAAAGCTAGGTCACCACCAGTCCGTGATTAAGTAGCCTCGTTTAGCTCCCTCAAACTAGTGTAGGCCACACTGTTTGTTCACTCTGGTTTTAGCTCTGTTTTACCTCCAAAGACATTACTCTCTTGCTTTTACGTCCAGGCTCCGTCATGATGCCAACAGAAAAGCAAGCATCTTTTTCTTCTTCCTGTGCTTTTTATTGACAGTCAGTGAACTGAAAAGGCTAACTGCTAGCATAACAGCTAACAGCCGTAAACGGGTAAAGAGCACCCCCAATTGGGCACCTACCCAATCCAAAAAACTGTTAATTGTGATTTTTGGTCAGCAGAGGGCTGCAGAGTGGTGTTAAATACTGGTACTGGTGAAGTTTGTAATGCAACAATCCCTGAGACCAATGTTAAGGCACTAGCTTAAAGTTTAAAAAGTTATTTAGGCTAAGTTCACACTGCAGGCTAAAGCGCATCAAATCAGCTTTTTCCCCCAAATGCGACCCATATCTGATTTTTTTATGACAGTCTATGACAGATCCAATTTTTTAAAATGCGATCCGTGTCACTTGAATATGTGTTACTGATTCTGATACATATCTGATGTATTTGAAAGCGACTGCAGTCTGAACGGTCATGTCGCATAAAATCCGCCTCCTACGTAACTGAGTCAGCGGAGGTGAGTGTCGTGTGTTGATGTTCCTGAGGAGAAGTGCTGACAGAAGGGTTCAGGAGTCTGTCTGGACATCATGTTTTAAGTTTTGGTATTAAACATACAGGAGAGCATGAGAACGGGAGTGGGAGGTGCTGCTGGAGCGAAGCGAAGCATTTCACCGGTCTCTGTGAAGGGAGGGAAGGGTGCCTCCACGAGAGGGGATTCACCGTCAATAAATTAATACCGGAACATTTTCGGTGAATAATATTTCAGGAAGATGGTGGAAACAAGGAGTAAAATAGTTTACGGTTTGTAAAACAGTTTCCAGCCCAAAACGGAAGAATTAACAGGTGTAATCCTGATCCTGTGGATAAACTGTCAGTGAAAACTTCACATCACAACTCCGCCTCTCCTGGTTTTGGCTCCGCTGAGTGTGACTTCTTGTCTTCTGCGCATGCGGGTCACTGTGGGGCCGTGAAGAGTTCACACTGGAGAGAGTTTGGTGTTGCATTTCAGTCATAGTGTGAACAGCCACACAAAAAAATGGGATTACTCAAAAAAAAAATCAGAATTGAGCATCAAGGCCTGCAGTGTGAACGAAGGATAAGTGTTACTTTAACATCAAATGATGGACTGAAGTTAAAGGAAAACAGACTAAGAATTAATTGTCCTGTTTAAATCCTCAGTCACTTCATCAGTGTGTGAAATGAAAACACACACACGCCTTTAACATCTCATTGGTGACAACACAAAATGTCAAGAATTTGTCCATCACACACAAAGTATCAGCTTCTGACACTAATCCTCATAAGCTAACTGAAAGTACGCAGACACAAAAGGGCGCATGTCGCCACCAACTTAACCGGAGTGGAACGCACTTCATTTGAGGGTTCGGTCTAATATCCATGTAAACTAGGATAAAGGGTCCCAATTAGGGTTGTCATGGTAACCGGTGTAGCAGTAAACCCCGGTAAAAAGGCTGACAATAATAATAACCGTCTTGTTTTAAAAAAAAATATTATCTCGGTGGATTACAGTGGCTGCGGTGTAGACGCAGTGACCCTTACTAGCCACCGTATCATCTGCTGAAGTTGCTGGCGGCACATGCACACTTTGTTGTTTACAACCAAAACTTTCTTGAAGCTAAAGCTGAAATAATGGCCAAAGGAGGAGACGGCAGCGCTCAGGACATTTATTATCCCTCAAAGAAGACAAAGTTGGAAGTACGGGCATTTTTTGGATATTTGAAGAATGCCGAGGAACAGTTGATAGAAGATGGCTATCCTGTTTGCAGCATAGGTGCTACATTTTGTGTGAAAATGTAACACGTTTAAAAAAATACCTAGATAATACCAAAAACCATGATAATTTTGGTCACAATAACCGTGATGTTAAATTTTCACACCGTGACAACCCTAGTCCACAACCCTAGTCCCAATTTATTACTTTTAACCCACTCTACCCAGAATGATGAAAGAAGAGGCACGAGAATCCTGTAAGTGCTTTCTGGGTGAGAACGATCTGCTGAGAAGTGTGACAGAAAGCTCTAACAAGATTTTGTTGGCAGAACCTGATGCTGTGTTTGCAGAGTGGGACAGAAAACTCCTACAGCTTAATCCCAACACCTCTGGAACACAAGGATACAGTCCTCCAGGTCCACCTCCTCAGAGAGGTTCATCTTGCTGGTGATGGTGGAGAAAATGAGACGCTTCTGTCTGCGGTCAGGCAGCGGGAACTCAATCTTCCTGTCCAGACGGCCGGGACGGAGCAGGGCAGGGTCCAGAGTGTCGGCTCGATTGGTGGCCATGATCACCTGAACAGATGGGAGGAGTCATTATGGCGGCAAACGCAACTAGATGAGAAATGTTTTAATAGACGTGTTGGGTTCCCAAGCATTTGTCTACATTGAATCAAAGTTTCAATTATTCTAAAAACACAAACTTTACTTACATTTAAAAATACAAGTTTTTACTTTGAATTCTTTTGTTACGTTCACGTTAGGATTTAAAGTATAGAAGCTCCGGTTTGGTTTCAGATATCAGTCAGGGTCCTGATCGAGTCAGTGTGTATCGATATGTTCAGTATGATGAAACTCCTGATCTCTAGCGTTAACCCACTTTCTCTGGTTCTGTGTCAGCCAGGCTTTAATACGACACCAACTCTTTAGTTTCATCAGGAGCTAGAGGCGGAGTCACCAACAACCCAATGAAAATGTTGTGAGTGCCATGTTTGAAAATTTTAAGTCGGGTCAGAACTCCATGTAGTCGAAGCGACCGTGTTTTGTGATGAAAGAATCTGTTTCAGAAGCAGCGTCCTTTTAAAAAATTTAAAAAGATGTTTATTTTTATGACCGGATCGTCTGTATGAAGGAAACCTGTCGTCGTGTCTTTTCAGAGCCGAGCTGCAGCAGAAACAGCTCTGAGGCAAAAAGTCCATTTAAGCTGGAGCTGAGTGACAGCACAAGGCAGCTGGATGACAGAGTGAGCGGCTTGTTAACTCGCTGTAAATGTATATTTTCAGGGAGTTTCTCGTTTCTTGTTTTATCGCGAGATTTGTTTTTTGTTCTACAGCGAGGCCCAGTGAGAGGCAGGAAGTTGGAAGGAGAGGGAGTTCTGAATGGCAATAAACGGCGGCACTGAAAAATTCACGTATGGTTTATTAAACTTTACATGGTAGCAGATGGTTTCCAACTATAGAACGCCGTCTAAACTCGACGAAACCGGGCCGTACGAATGCTGGAAAAATGTAGTATGTGGAAACTTGTTATGGATCTGGAAAAGAAGAAACAAGCGAGAAACAAGGACGAGCCAGAGAGACTGCTTCAGAGATATCCACAGAGGATCTTAAAGATGACGGTGTGGAAACCTTGCTTACAAAATTGGGACACCGTTTTCCTGAGAGAAGAAAAAGATCGAGCTTATGAAGCATATTCTCACTTTGACTCGATATCTAAAGACGGTGCAATGTCAATGGCGGACTACATTATAGAGTTTGAACAAAGATACAACCGTATAAAAAAGTATGATATGACTCTACCTGATGCTGTACTAGCGTTCAAGCTCCTGGACACAGCCTGTCTCGAGGAGAAGAACAGACAGCTAGCACTTACGGCGTGCACGGATTAAATCAGCACTGAAGCGGATTTTTGGAGGAAAATCCATTGGGACAAGTGTGGCAAGGTGGAGAAACGAGGGCCCGGGCGGGATTCGATACCCAGACTCCCGGGTGAGAGTCATACGCTCTAACCAGTCAGCCAAAGGGACATCCCCTTGGCCAAGTAGCCAGGGCGCATGATCAATCGGGACACTGTGACAGGATGCTCACACTGTCACATCTTCCCCCCTCTTTCCAAAAGCACGTCCTCGTGCTCCCGCGCAGGGTGCCACAAACTTCACATCCATGGACCTACTTGACAGTACTACATGGATCCTGCCAACAACGCCAAATGTGGCAACGCATGCTGGGAACTCTACTGCCTGGAGCATGGTATACAGCCCGATGGGCAAATGCCCAGCGACAAGAGCGTTGGAGGGGGAGATGACTCCTTTAACACCTTCTTCAGTGAGACCGGTTCAGGGAAACATGTTCCCAGAGCCATCTTTGTGGACCTGGAGCCAACAGTCATTGATGAGGTTCGTACAGGAACCTATCGGCAGCTCTTCCACCCAGAGCAGCTCATCACTGGAAAGGAAGATGCTGCAAACAACTACGCCCGTGGTCACTACACAATCGGGAAGGAGATCATTAACTTGGTTTTGGACCGAACCCGCAAGCTGGCTGACCAGTGCACAGGTCTCCAGGGTTTCCTCATCTTCCACTCCTTCGGAGGGGGGACTGGTTCTGGCTTCACCTCTCTGCTGATGGAGCGTCTGTCTGTTGACTACGGCAAGAAGTCAAAGCTGGAGTTTGCAGTTTATCCAGCTCCTCAGGTGTCCACGGCTGTGGTGGAACCTTACAACTCCATCCTCACCACCCACACCACCCTGGAGCACTCAGACTGTGCCTTCATGGTGGACAATGAGGCCATCTATGACATCTGCCGCAGGAACCTGGACATCGAGCGTCCTACCTACACCAACCTGAACAGGCTGATTGGACAAATCGTGTCCTCCATCACTGCCTCCCTGCGCTTTGATGGGGCCTTGAACGTGGACCTGACAGAGTTCCAGACCAACCTGGTGCCCTACCCTCGTATCCACTTCCCTCTGGCTACCTATGCCCCCGTTATCTCAGCAGAGAAGGCCTATCACGAGCAACTGTCAGTGGTTGACATCACCAGTGCCTGCTTTGAGCCAGCCAATCAGATGGTGAAATGCGACCCACGTCATGGTAAATACATGGCCTGCTGCCTCTTGTACAGAGGAGATGTTGTCCCCAAGGATGTCAATTCGGCCATCGCCACAATCAAGACTAAACAAAGCATCCAGTTTGTGGATTGGTGTCCCACTGGCTTCAAGGTGGGCATCAACTACCAGCCCCCTACTGTGGTTCCTGGAGGAGACCTGGCAAAGGTGCAGAGAGCTGTGTGCATGCTTAGCAACACAACTGCCATCGCTGAGGCCTGGGCTCGACTGGACCACAAGTTCGATTTGATGTACGCCAAGAGGGCCTTCATCCACTGGTACGTGGGAGAGGGGATGGAGGAAGGGGAGTTCTCTGAGGCCAGGGAGGATATGGCTGCCCTGAAGAAGGACTACGAGGAAGTGGGCACTGACAGCGTTGGGGAGGAAGATGAGGGAGAGGAGTACTAAAGTCTTAAGTTGTTTCTGTCCTGCGTTTGTGAATGAGTTTCTGTTCTGTTGAAACATGTTACATGTTATAGAAATCTAATCTTGTTTGAATGTTTGTGGATTTTTTTATTTTTTTCCACAAGTTTAAAAGTTCAGAAAACTGAAGTGGGTCTGTTAAACTGGTTTAATGCAGGTTACAGAGAAGATGGTGTGAAGAAAATCCTGTTAACTGGGAACATGAAACAAAATGTTTGGTTGTAATTGTTCTGAAAACCCTGAACATCTTGAATAAATTCCTGATAAAAAAAAAAGGGATGTCCCTTTGGCTGACTGGTTAGAGCGTATGACTCTCACCCGGGAGTCTGGGGATCGAATCCCGCCCGGGCCCTCGTTACTCCACCTTGCCACACAAGCATTGGCTGTGATACGCAAAGTGCAGTTTTCTACACGGAACAAAAGTCAACCAACAAGTTCAAACGGAGTAATTGCCCACCACAGAATGGAACACGACACCCACAACAAGGTACAAATCCTCTAGATAGATACGGGAAGTGCACTAAATGCGCTATCTGCCAAAGTACGTACCATTGAGCTAGACTGTCCTCATCGGAAAAATGATGTAAAATTGACAGAAGACAAAGACGTAGAAGAATGCAACATTACGTTGTTCACTAAAGAGGCTATAGCAGACTGTGAGATTTTTCTAACCGAAGCACGGGGATCAGCCATTATTGATACTGCATGCACAAGAACTGTTTGTGGTGAGAAGTGGCTGGAAAGTTATGTAAATGATCTCAGTGAAAACCAGATTCACAAGCTACTAAACATAGAACCTCCAAGCTGCAAGTCTTTCAGATTTGGAGATGGCCAAGTAGTGTTCTCCAACAAAAAAGATTAAGATTCCAGCTAAAATAGGCCAAACAAAATGTCACATTGAAAGTGAGGTTGTTCCAGTTGATGTTCCCCTGCTTCTGAGCAAGATGTCACTAAAAAGAGCAGGGACAGTCCTGGGCATGGAAAATGACAAAGTTGTCATGTTCAAGCAGCAAGTGCCTCTTGAGCTAACTACTTCCGGACACTACTGTGTGGACATTAGGGATGATAATGATGCAAAAGTGAGAAACAATGAAGGTGAAGTGCTTATGGTCACAGCAGAGATGTCAGGGAAAGAAAAACAAAGTCCTACTGAAGCTACACAAAAGGTTTGGCCATGCATCTGCTGGCTGGTTACAAAGACTAATCCAAAGCTCTGGAAACAAGGATAAAGATTGTTCAGTCATTCTGCAGGAGATCGTTCGTGACTGTGAAATATGTCAAAAACACACCAAGACTAAGCCCAAGCCTGCTGTTGGTCAGCCCTTGGCCTCAGAGTACAATGAGACTGTGGCGATGGATCTGTATGAGCTGGAACCGGGAGTATGGTACCTACACATCGATCACTTCACATGCTTCAGTTCTGGAAGCATTGTAAGAAGTAAGAAACCTGCAGAGATTGTCAACTCTTTCATCCACTAATGGATAAGCATCCATGGTGCACCCAAACAGATCTACACAGACAACGGTGGAGAATTCAACAAAGAAGAAATCAGAGACATAGCGGAAAAGTTCAACATAGAGACAAAAACCACAGCGGGATACAGTCCTTGGAGTAACGGTTTACTAGAGAGGCACAACATGACATTAACGGAGATCCTTCTGAAGGTAAAAAAAAAAAAAAAGAAAAGAAAATTACTATACTTGGCAAACTGCTTTAGACTGGGCTATTATGGCCAAAAATTGTATGATAAATGTACATGGTTATAGCCCATACCAACTTGTATTTGGACAAAATCCCAATCTACCCTCTGTGTTGGTAGATAAACCACCCGCTCTAGAGAGCATTTCCATGACTTCTAGAGTAGGACAACACCTAAAAACATGACATGCTTCTAGAATAGCTTCCACAGAGGTGGAATGTTCAGAGAGAATAAGAAGAGCAGCACTACATAAACAACTCAGACCAACAGATGAAAAGTATGAGACAGGAGATAAAGTGTACTACAAACGAGTAGACAGTCCTGAATGGAAAGGCCCAGGTGTGGCAATTGGTCAGGATGGGATTCTAGTTAGGGCACACCAGTCCTGACTACGCAAAGTGAACATTCAAGATGAAGACAAACATGTACAGCTTACTGTTCATGTTGAAAATATTGAAAAGGAAATGGCTCAGAGATGATCGATAGTGCAGATGATGACCTGAGTAGGAACAGGGGAGAAGAACTCACTAAAAATATAGAAACAGATGAGACACACAACCAAGGAGACATACATAACGAACCAGAGAGTGATGTAACAAGTACTGGATCTCATACTGATGCAATGCTAAGAGCAGCTCAGATGATCCCATTTACAAACACAGATGATGGTGCTCAATGCACAGCAGGAGTTTTAGGCAGAGCAGGAACGGCAAAGGGACAATACAAAAACTGGTACAATGTCCAGTATATTGCACCAGCTAACAGTGAGGGACAAAAACAAGCTTTAGATATGTCTCAGGTTAACAATCTGCACACTGAAGTTGAAGGTACAGATGCTGATGTATTGATCAGCAAAGACATTTCTTTTGATGCTGCTAAACAGCAAGAGTTGGAAAACTGGGGAAGTAACAATGTGTATGAAGACGTTACAAACAACGGCCAGAAATGTATTTCTACAAGATGGGTCTGTACACTGAAAGAAACAGTTGATGGCATTGTCCCCAAAGCGCGTCTCGTGGCGAGGGGCTTTGAAGAGGTTAATATTCATGAGTTACAAAAGGATTCTCCCACATGTGCCTCAGAGTTGCTCAGGTTGTTGCTAGCGGTGATCTGTCAAAACAAGTGGAAAGTTCATTCCATGGACATTAAATCTGCCTTCTTACAGGGAATGGAACTCTCCAGGAACATTCACGTTCATCCACCTCGTGAAGCTTGTGTAAAAAATGTTTTGTGGAAGCTAAAGAAATGTGTCTATGGACTTGCAGACGCTTCTCTCTACCGGTATAACAAAGTTAAGGAAATCCTGTTAAACACTGGTGGTAAAATATCACAAGTTGATCCTGCAGTGTTCTACTGGCAGAATGAGCAGGCTGAAATAACAGGTGTACTGGCATGTCATGTTGATGATTTTTTTGGGCAGGATCAGAACAGTTTGAGAGTAATGCCGCTTTGCGCTGTATAACATATGAAAGATCAGACCATAACCAACACAACATGCCACCCAGCTCCTGGTGCAATCTACTGTCATCTCCTGCCTCGATTACTGCAATGCCCTTCTAACTGGACTTCCAGGCTGTACTGTGAGACCTCTTCAAATGGTCCAGAACGCAGCGGCACGTCTGGTCTTCAATCAGCCAAAAAGAGCACACGTCACCCCTCTGTTCATTGAGCTCCACTGGCTACCGCTAGCAGCACGCATCAAATTCAAATTGCTAACACTAGCATACAAAGTCCGAGATGGTACGGCTCCCATCTACCTGAATCCTCTTGCAAAGGCTTACGTCTCTGCCCGGCCGCTCCGGTCATCACAGGATCGTCGGCTAGCAGTGCCTACACCACGCTCAGGACAATCCAGACTCTTAATGCATCATTCCACAAATGTGGAATGACCTTCCAAGCACTACCAGAACAGCGGCTTCCTTTTCAATTGTCAAGAAACTCCTGAAGACCCTGTTCTTCAGAGAGCATCTTCTTAACTAGCACCCTCCCTGCACCCGTCCCCCATCTCTACTGTCCACTCCTTGTTCCCTCCTCTCCATGATTGATGTCAAGTTGTTGTTGTTAGCCTCAAGGGCAACATGCCGATTATCACTTGTAAGTCGCTTTGGACAAAAGCGTCTGCTAAATACATAAACATAAGGTTATTCCTGTACTCAAGTCTACTTTCCATGTGGCACATGAAGAACATGAGAGCTTCCCATATGTAGGTATGGACATTTCTACTGTGAGAAACTTTATACAGGTGCATCAGCACAGCTGCATAGACAACTTACAACCTGTTCAGTTACAAGCAGTACGTGCCACTCAGAGAGACAACCCACTAGATCAGACAGAGAGAGAACAGCTCAGATCCAAAATAGGACAGGTTTTATGGGTTGCTAAACAAACGAGACCAGATGTTATGTTTGATATTTGTAGCTTGGCATCCAACATTAAAAATGCTCATGTTCAGTCCATACATGAGGTGAACAAAGTGATTCAGAAACTCAAGTCAGAGAAGGTCACACTGAAGTTTCAACACATTGATAACAGTGACGATTTGTGCTTGGTTGTCTTCAGTGATGCATCGCTGGGCAACCTACCGGATGGAGGCCCACAGGGAGGGGTTTTCATTGCTTTAATGGGGAAAACTGGAAGATTCTCTCCTCTGTTTTGGCAGTCTAAGAAAATCAGACGTGTTGTAAGAAGTACACTAGCAGGAGAAACTCTTGCCATGTCAGATGGTATTGATAATGCCATGTTTTTAACCTCACTCTATTCTGAACTTACTGCCGGTAAAGCTAATCTGAACATGTTGCCCATTATCTGTGTCACTGATAACCACTCACTGTTTGATGCTCTCAAATCTACAAAACAAGTCACAGTAAAGAGACTTAGATTAGAAATGAGTGGTATTAAAGAACTCATACAGTCCAGAAAAATTAGAGGCGCGTTGGGCAGATGCTAAGTCACAACTTGCTGACTGTTTAACAAAAAAGGGTGCATCTTCTCTTGCACATCTAAGAGCACTAGATGAGGGTGTGTGGTGCCAATAAAAACAAAAACAAAAAAACTTGCACTATGTACGCATATTCACTTGTAAAATATTCCTTTGTTTTGATGTTACAGTTTGTATGACTATGTTTAAGCAAAAAGTTTTAAAAATGAAAAAAAAAATCTGTTTAGAAAAGAGTGAGATTAACTCACTGTAAATGTATATTTTCAGGGAGTTTCTCGTTTCTTGTTTTATCACGAGATTAGTTTTTTGTTCTATAGCGAGGCCCTGTGAGAGGCGGGAAGGCGGAAGGAGAGGGAGTTCTGAATGGCAATAAACGGCAGCACGGAAAATAAACGTGTGGTTTATTAAACTTTACACGGCTGACCGGACCTCACGGCTCACTCTCCGTCTGCAAATCCTACCGTGTTGGTCACTTGGGAATGCAGACAAGCAGGTGAACGTACCTTCACATTGACGTTCTGATCAAAGCCATCCATCTGGTTCAGCAACTCCAGTAAAATTCTCTGCACTTCTCTGTCAGCTGCAGAGAAAACATAGAAGCGTAAATAATTCACCACGTTGCTGCTTTTAGAACGACTTCGTCAGGGAAAAACCAGGCAGGACAGGAAGTTCCCTCTCACCTCCAGTCTGAGCATCGAAACGCTTAGTGGCGATAGCGTCGATCTCATCGATGAAGATGATGGCAGGAGCGTTCTCCTTGGCCAGCCGGAAGACGTCCCGCACCATACGAGGACCTTCACCGAGGTACTTTTGGACGAACTCTGAGCCCACCACTCGGATGAACGCCGCTGAGATGACCAGGACAGAAAAGGAGTTAGGACGTCCCGACCTACAAACAGATCCTCAGTGAAAAATAAAAGAATTTGGCATTAAAGGAATTTGTTTCATGTTTGAAAATTGACCACAGAGGTGTTTATTCTAGTTTTGTTTTAGATCCTTTAGGTTACTTCTGTCCAGTTTCCTTCCCAGCAGCCAGAGCGGTTCTGGACCAACAGCTCTATGGACCTTTACCCTTGGATCACATCAGACGCAGAACGAGGAGCGCTTCTATTCAGCGCCCTTGTTAACCTACAGTCTCGGTCGCAACAGCTGCGAAGCGCCGCGAAAGCTTGCGCTGTGCAGCAATCGTTTCGGCATGTGCTCTAATTTTCTCGTGAGCCGCATCAATTCTGGCAGGAAGTCGAACCAAAACAGAAGACGCAGGCTGATAAATTCAACAGAATAGACATTTTTCTAAATAAAACACCGCGATTGAATAAATGTGATCAGACTAGAGATGGAAATGAACACACACACACACACACACACACACACACACACACACACACACACACACACACCCCAAGGGGATGGGGTAGGGGGGTTTGGAAAACAGTAGGCGTAAGCAGAAGCGCTCGTCGAAAATTCTTACCTGATGTGCACAGAGGAGCAACGGGCAGCGATACGCTTCGCAGCTGATGTGATCCTGGCGTTAGGCTGTTTTCTCATTTAGGTTTTCTTTTTTGTAGAACATTTAATATATTTTTGTTTGTTCAGCCTCTGAACTTTGACCTGTAAATCTTACAAGTATAAAGAGGCGTCTAACTCAAGGAGTGAGCCAGAATGGCCTCAGAGATGCGAGACAGAGACAGATACTGGAGGTGACAGACTGACAGAGAACTCAATTTTAGCTCCATTGTCAAACAGTTGATGGTTGAAAACCTGTCAACTAGTTAAGGAGCTGAAGAATGAACGATCACATCCACAGTTCTGGTTCAGGAGAGTTCAGACCTGACACATCTTTAGTTCTTCACATGACCCGTTTCCATCCAGCCATCATGCTAAAGATAAGCGGTATGAAGCCGTTCCTCTAATCAGCCTGATGACGTGTCTCCTGATGTCCGTCTTTACCTTTAGTGATGAACGTCTCACCTGTGGTGTGATGTGCCACAGCTTTGGCCAACATGGTTTTCCCACAGCCTGGAGGTCCGTACATCAGCACGCCCCTAGGCGGGTCGATGCCAATCTGATGAACAGAACCAGAAATGAAAACTTATTGGATTAACGCCGATCCCAATGCTCAGTAATAAAGGACATCTTATTATCGTTAAAGACAGAAGAGTCAAAGCAGATCTGAGATCAGAAGATAAAAAACACCCCACCCTCGACCCAGAGGAGATGTTGATTATGAATTTATTTATCTGATCATTAGCTGTAGCTTTGACTAGTCCTTTGCTTGTTTTATGTTTGGTTTTAGTAAACAACACTTTGGTCGTCCGGGTCAAAGTGTTTCAGAAACAAAGTGTTTGGTAACAAAGGTGGTTCAGACTGTTGGACATCAACCTGCTTGTAGAGCTCAAAGTGTGTGAGGGGCAGCTCCACCGCCTCTCTGACTTCCTGCTTCTGAATGTCCATCCCACCGATGTCGGCGTACATCACATCAGGCTTCTGGTCTGCAGAGAACAGCATCAAACTGTTGGAGTCAGACAGAAAAAGCTGCTGTGGGTGGAGCCAGGAAGGAGCATACCTGAGGTCAGCATCATGATGCTGCTGTCGGCCTCAGGAGGAAGGACGTCCACCAGAGCGTTGCTGTGTTTGTGAAGAGCCACCGAGGCGTTGGGCTTCAGCAGCTCTCGGTCAATCGTGCTCAGGATGCGTACGTAGTAGTTGGACCCTGAAGAGACAAAAATGGTGAATAAGAGGAGGCAGAACCCAAGAACAGCATCATCAACGATTCACAGCGTGTCCCAAATGCTGAAAAATTCAAGTTTACAGCAAAAACTACAAATCCTCAGAGTTTCTCTAAAAACGCTGAAAACCAGAACACGAGCAAATGTTTAAACCACATCTGCTGCTTTATTTATAACAATGGTTTCATCCCAAACTAAGCACGCTTAATGTGAGTTTGTCTTCTTCTACACTTGTTAGATGCAACCATTACATAGAAATCCACAGACGGCACGTTTGTATAGCACTCAGTAATTTAAGTTCATTTAATCACCATGAAGATTAAACTTGTGATTCACTCCTAAAGGTTTGTTTCCAGAAATTATTCTGCAGACTTTCCAAAGTTTCATTTTCAATGCAGACGTCTTTTCCACTCAACATTTATTTATTCAAGAAAACGAATTACCCCAGCAGATAAAAGCATTTTTAGCTAAATGGTTGAAGAAGGTTGAGTTTCCTGGAGGTGATAAAGACTTATGCACAGTGCAGTGGTTTTATTTCTTATCTCACTACATAAATCTTAAAGGAGAAAGATTTATTTTCCAGCTCAGGATTTTTTACTGCAGGTGTGTTGGAATCTGAATGATTTATGAATGATTTCTTCTTTCTGCTGCGGTGAGTTTCTGTCTGAATCCGAGTAGTTTTTCAGACAAAAATCACATAAATAACATGAAGTTTTATTACATCTGCCCTTTTAATTCAGTGGTTCTTGATCAGAATATTAAAAAAAGACACCTGGTAGCAATTTGCGTCAACATTCCCCAAGTTCCTGAAGCAAACATGGTTAAATAGTTAAAGATGCTTTAATTTAGCCCCATAAATAACCCATTTCCCTTTTTATGAGCACAGATCTCACAAAGGAAAAAGAACATCTGATTTACTCTTTGTTTCAATGAATGTCTAAACTAAAGAAACATAGTTTATAATATAACATGTGGATCAGACAAAAACAAAAGATCATCTCAATCAGACAGATTAAAGCTTGCTGGAATAAATTAAAACATCTTTACTAAATAATAAATATCTGTGGAAAGGTGATTTGATTGTGGCATTTTATGAACCTTTGAGACCCCTACAGGCAGAGAGAGGAACTGCTGGATTCAGACTGTTGTATGGAACTCAAAAGTATTCAAAATTCAATAAACAAATAAAACATTACGAAATAAATATCTACATAAAGAAATACTAGACAATCATGTAATCTGACAATGAAATGATGGAATAACAGAATGTTATGTAAAATCTAAGCTTGGTATTATGAAATATTTGTCATTCTTTTTCTAAAATGTCTTTATTAATATGTTTTTTTTTTCAAAAGTAATTTTTTCATAATAATCCAAATTAATATTCAGCTACTTTTACATAGCCCCCTTTAAACCCTCACGTCAGGTTTAAAGTCTTGGTTTTCACAGTATGTATCAAAGAGCTTTTCTAGCTTTACTTTCCCAGCAGGTCCTTGAGGTCCCAGGATTAAAGCTTGCTGATAGTGCAGCGTTCCCAGTGAAAGGCTAAGGAATATTTGCATCTACTGCCCCAAATCTCTGGAATGCTCCCCCCGACATATAGGAATTCTCTTAAAAAGCAACTTAAACTTGTGTCAAACTTACTTCCAACTGATTTTCTTCTCTTCTTTTAAACCCTTTCACATATTTTTATGGCAAAAGTTATTTTTATTTGAGAGGTGAAACAGAAATAACCCTTTACTCACATAAACCTTCAAAGCTGTTACTTTAATTCCTTGTCTCCTAAAAATAAATGTGATTGTTCTACTGCTGATTTCAGACCTTACACCCTTTGAAGTAGTTTAGTACAGTGAGCAATCACCTGCTGAATCCACATCATCATAATCATCAGACTCAGGTAACACTCAGAACAGACAGAAGATGAGAAGAAAACCTCTCCATCTTTACCTGTAGTGGAGCCAACAATAGCTGTGTTCTGGTCCACGGCCTCCAGGAACTGGCCAATGACAAGAGGGATGCTCTGTATCCTCTTCACCTCTTCCTGAGCATGCAGGAACTCCTTCTTCAGGTTCTTCTGTTCATCTTTGATGTACTCTTCCTGGACCTCCAGGAACTCCAGCTCCTGCTGTAGCTTCTGCAAACATGCAGCCAAAGATGTGTGACAACCCGACACAGAACTGGTCTGATTTCTTGCTGTTAGAGGGATTTCATCAGATTGTAACTGATTACATGTTTGTACAAAATACTGGACTGTCTTTATGTGTAAAATAACTTCTGGCAACAGAAACTCTGCTCCTCAGTGAGAACTAAGATGTTTTTATTGCTTGATTTGCTGCAGAACTTGTATTTTCTTATATATCAGTGTCATTTTGCTGTGATGCAATCAAATTAACTGTTTTGATGCAGTTACGTTACTTTTTCTTTAGTGAATCTGAAAACAGAACTTTTGTTCCTTAGAGAACAAAGTTCAAACCAGAAATGTTTGTTTTGAGACAGAAGGAACGACTGACTAGACAGAAATGTAGAGTTTGTTTCTGCTTGAGCATTTGAATCATCAGGAATCTCAGTTGGTAACCATATACACCACATCTGCTAAACAGGATACTTAAAAAATTCTTTTGTAAGTTTTATTCAGAGTATTTCTCTTGGCTAAGTTCACACTGCAGGCAAAACTTCATCAAATCCATTTTTTCCCACATGCAGCCCATATCTAAATATTTGTGACAGTCTGAGTCAGTGGAGGTGAACATCGCGTGTTGACATTCCTGAGAGGTGCCGACAGAAGCATTCAAAGGTCTGTCTGGACATCTTGTAAAAGTTTGGAAATAAAATACAGAAGAGCATGAGAATAGGAGGGGGATGCTGCTGGAGGGAAGCATCTCTCCGGTCTCAGTGAGAGAGTGTGTGTGTGTTCTCCTTGAATTAACTTAATGCGGGAACATTCTCAGGGAGTATACCATCACAGGAAGATGGCAGGAATAAGGAGTAAAAAAGATTTTAGGTTTTAAAACTGTTTCCAGGCCAGAATGGGAGACTTGACAGGTGTGATCCTGAAATTGTGGATGAACTGTCAGTGAAGTTTTTCACGTCACAGCTCCACCAGCTCCACAGAGCATGTTGTGTGTGTGACTTCTTGTATTCTTCTGCGCATGCGGGCCACTTTGGGGCCGTGAAACATTCACACTGGAGAGTTAAAAATCTTACAATCTCATCAGTTATAAAGTGAACAACCACACATTCCAAAAATTGGAATAGTGAAAGTGAGCAAACACCATTTTAACTTGATGTTTAATATACTTTTAGGATTGTTTTTTATTTAAATTATTTTTTACATTTTTTATTTTAACAAATTACTTAAAGCTGCTTTCTGGAGTTTTCTCCTTTCAGAAATGATGTATGATTTGTCAGAAATCCATAAAAGTGATTATCTCATCATCTACTGTGATATAATGTAAGCAATACGTCTTTTTTTTGTTGCTAAGCACGCCCCCTGCCCCACAGAGCTCGTGTAATAGGAAGCTGAGCGCCAACCAGAACTAACCAATAGCATTAGACTACCGCTTACTTGTTTCATATTTAAGGAAGTACTTCGGCTCATGCAGAGTTGATGCACTTTTCATGGACAAGTAAGTCTCTAAAATATAAATATACAAGAACACAACATGACATGAGAATAATACTCGTAAAACAACGTATTTTAGCTCCGTTTGTCGGCTACAGAAGCACATTTATAAACAGAAACATGAAGTTGCCATCTTAAAAAATAGAGCGACAGATTTTTGTGTGTGATATGCTTGTCAGCCACTAGATGGTGCCATCGGATAAGAGAAATACTCCGGAAAGAAGCTTTAACGAAGATGGATCTAATAAATAAATAAAGCAGATTTTTAGGGGATGTAGTTTTGGAGATAGAAGAGCCCAGCCCATTCCAGACGTCGTTCACATTTTGAGCAAAAGTTAACCTTGATTATGACACTTGTTGTATTCCAGCCACATATTTAAGAGACAACTAACTTTCTACAACTACAACATTGAAGACAAAGACATGAAGACGAGACCTTGTATCTGGTATAAAGGTCCTCCAGGTCTTCTGGTTCTGGTGCCAAAAAGGACAGACCGGTCTGAGGTCTGGAGCTCAGGACTGACGGCATTTCTTCCTGTGAGATAAATATATATATATATATATATGAAAATGCTGCATCACTGAAAAACAAGCAGTACTGGTTTTTAAAAATAAAAACGGTCATTAAAGAAATGATGCATGCACACACGTTTAACTATTAATAAAAGATTCAAACTAAGATTTTATCCTGCATCCATCTTTTTGTTGACCTTCTCTGTATGATGTAGTATTAGAGCTTTGTTGTGGAAAGTGCTGTTTCATATCAGCTGAAGTCTACCTTCACCCAAACCAACACTATTAATTCAGTTTATAGATGTGTAAATAACTACACGCAATTATCTTCCTGGAGCTCGTAGACACATTCAGTTAGGCTGCTAACTAACTAGCACCACGTCAGGAGAAGACTTGTCAATAAGTCATCTATTGTTAATAAATAAATGAACAATCAACCTCCGAGTCATTACCCAAAACACAAATACAGATTCAAACAATAAAAACATCGCACAACCCTTAAAACCAATTGTGGTTTTAATCTACACATAATCGATGCTAATGCTAGCAAATGCACCGAGCGGAGAATGAATTGGCAGGTTTACGGTTCAACAGCTTTAACGAGCAGGCAGGCGGTAAATGAAGTGATAAAACACACACTGGAGTAAAGAATTAAAGACGTGTTCGACTTAAGTCTTCAAATAACCATTAACTGGAAAAGAACGACAGAAAAATAATGTAGAAACTATCTTACAGGGCTCTTTTCTACAGCTACGAAGTCATCCATGTTGAAATTTTCTTCTGTTTGACGCAATGACGTCTTGGGCATTGGCGCTGAGGACTATGGGTAATGAAGTTATTTTTTTTAGTTTGGAGGTTTTTAGACTGCAAGAAAATGCACTAACGAGTTTTTGAAGTTTGAACGGTTTGAACATTAAACTAGTAAAATAAATGGAGACATAATTATTTAATTAAACATATATTGTTATAATTATACTTATGATACTACTACAGGTGAACAATATGGTGAAAAAGTTATTTTATGTCAGTAATTCATCTTAGACTGAGAGACCTTCTAAAGGCTCAGGAACCAATTGCTGCTGTTTTGGATCTTTAGCTGATTAGAGTGGTTCTCCACACCTTCATCTCACTTTTAGCCCAAAATATTAAACTTTTTCTCAATATTCAAATTTTCTGAGATTTGACATTGGGGTATTCATAAACCATAATTATTACAATCATATCAAATAAAGGCATGACACATCTCACTTTGCATGTAACGAGTCCACCTCGATTAGTTTCATCTTTGAAGCTGATTTACAGAAATTAAATTAAATTTTACACCATGTTTTAATTTTTTTTTTCTAATTTCACCAGGTTCTTTTTTTATTTGGTTTTACAAATTTTTTAAATGTTTTTGTTTTGCAGCAGAAATGGGCAAGTGTATTGGGGCTGGGAAATTCCAAACTGTGTTTTTCTGGTCGGAATTTTATATGAAATCTACAAGAACAATAACAATATTGTAAATATTGCAGTCATTAAACACAATTTACATAAATATGTATGAAATGTTTAAGACATGATGATTGTTTTCGTACGATGCAAACACAGTTCCTGGTCAGAACTGATCTGTGTTTCTCCAAACTGAGGTTCATAAAAAGCCACCTGCCACAGGTCAGAAAGTGATCAGATCCTTTCAGCAGGAAACAGTTCTGCGCTACAAACAACTGTCAGAGATGTTAAACACTCCAACCAAGGTCTGAGTGGGTGTGCAAGAATGAACTTTCTGTTACAGGATGGTGGTCCTCACCTCATCTTTATGCAGATGACATCTAACTGTACATCTCCTTTAAGCCCCATGAGATGTCTAAGCTGCAGCTGTTACACACCTGCTTAGACTCCATTAAAACCTGGATGGCTGGGAGCTTTCTACAGCTGAATGAAGATAAGACTGAGATCCTCATCTGTGCCCCAGACAAGCTGGTTCCCAAAGTCAGACTCTCTTGGTCAGCTTGTTTCTCACACCAAACCTTCCGTCAGGAATCTTGGCATGACCTTTGACCCAGCTCTCACCCTGGATTCTCATGTCAGTTCTCTTGTTCGCTCTTCCTTCTTCCATCTCAGGAACATTGCTAAGCTGAGTCCCATTCTGTCCCACTCTGAACTTGAGACAGTTATCCACACCTTCATCTCCTCACACTTAAACTACTGTAACTCTCTTTTCACGTGTCTGAGCAGAACCTCCCTGAACCGTCTACAGGTGGTTCAGAATGTCTGTGCTCGGCTTCTGACCAAGTCCTCCAAACACATCCACATCACCCCGCTTCTCCTCCAGCTTCATTGGCTGCCAGTCAACTTCAGGGTTCATTTCAAGATCCTGGTTCTGGTCTATAGGGCCTTACATGGACAAGCACCATCTTACATTGGGGATCTTCTTAGTCCCTACACCCCCAGCAGGTCCATGAGGTCCAGTGATCAAAGCCTACTGGTTGTGCAGCGCACCAGGCTAAAGACCAAAGATGACAGATCAGCCGACTGAGTTTGTCAGCTAACGCGGTTGTTAGAGCGCTGTCATCTTTATCTTACAGTGACACGAGGTACTCCTCAGTCCTTTTTAAACATTGGAACAACTGCCTATATGGTTTGTAAATAGAATGTGTTTGTATTTTAATTTTTTTATTTTTATTTTATTCCTGTTATGGACATATCCCTTGTCTGAAATAAAGTTTGATTGATTGATTGATTTGCTATTGTGGCCCCCAGACTCTGGAACTCTCTCCCCCTGAGCCTGAGATCAGTGGACTCAGTGGTCTCCTTTAAAAAGCAGCCGAAGACTCACCTGTTCAAGCTGGCTTTTGTATGACCTTCTTCACCATCCTCTCTTTATTCTGCTCTCCCCACCTATTCTACCTTCCTCAGGATCCACTGATTTCCCTCTTTCCTATTCACTCTCTTTCTTAACATTTTTTTTTATCACAATTGTCTATTTCTGCTCATTTTAAATATATTTTAACCATTTTCTAAATTATTTTTTATATTTTTACATTTTTTGTTTTTGTGAGGCGCCTTGTGATTTTTATCTTGAGAGGCGCTATAGAAATGATATTTTCTTCTTCTTCTCTGCAGAAGGTTTCCATCAGACTGATGAACTTTAATGTTTTTATCAGAAATACGGACTCGTGAAAAAAGATGTTTGTCGGTCAGAGGTGGCCTTGTGTGTCTGAGGGCAATTTGTCGTGCACGCACGCACGCACACACACACACACACACACACACACACACACATTTTACATTAAACTAAAGAAAATTAGAACAGCAAATCTGAATGATTCGTTGTCAAAAACATAAAAAATTATATCTTTTATCGATCAGCTGCAGACAAAGTTTCACCTGAGGAGGAAGAAAACAACCTCTGCACAGTTAAATGGGTCTTTTCAGTCAAACCACATATTGTCAGGACTCAGGTATCTCCCGGCTAACCTTCGGACCACAACTCCCGACATGCTCCTCGTGGGTAGCTCCCAGCGTGCTCCTCGCGGGGAGTCCCTCCACGTCACAGCCAAGCAAGGCTATATATGGAAGACGCCGTGACCGGCTTCTCATCTCAGTCACCGTTTCTTCCTCACAGAGATACGACCAGAGAAATAATAAAACTGTTAAACGTCTCACCTTGTTCGTCTCCTTCATCCAGTCTGATCAGCCTGACAGGATGACTGAGAACTGAGTAGATTCAACGGAGATCGATTGTCTCCGCCACGAGAACGTGCAGCTGCGTTCCATGGTAGATCAGCTCAACACCAAGGTGAACTCCTTGTCCGACCACACCCTGCGTCTATCCACGGCTCTCACGGCTCTCCAACAACAGGCAAACGATCAGCAGCAACAGATCGCTGCACTCCAGCAGCCAACCCGCTCTGCTCCTAGGGAGGAGCCCCACTTCAGCCTGCCGGAGAGGTGGAACGGAGAGACGGGGAGCCCCGATGGTCTGCTCGCCACGCTGGACATGCAGTTCGAGTGCCAACCTGGACGCTACCCATCTGCGCGCTCCCGAGTGGCGCATCTCACCTCCCTGCTCTCCGGACGCGCCGCGGAGTGGGCTGCTGCGCTTTACAATTCCAAATCCCCTGCCTGCAACGACTATGCTGCGTTTGTGTCCGCTCTCCGGAAGACCTTTGTTCCCCCCAGCAGCGAAGTGGGAGCAGAGACACGCCTTCTCAAACTCCGCCAGCGAGAACGCGCGGTGTGCGCTTATGCGTCGGAGTTTCGCACCATCTCCGCCAAGCTGCAGTGGAATGACTCCGCTCTGCGGGCCGCCTTCCTGGAGGGGCTGGCACCCTACATCCGTGATGAGTTGGCGGGAAGGGAGCTGCCTCAGACCCTGGATGAGGTGGTTGATCTGGCGCTGCGCATCGACCAGCGGGTTCTGGTTCGACCCAAGTTATCCACGCGTCCACCCAGGACGCCGGTGCCTCGCCCTCGTTCACCCACGCCAGCTCCTGTACCTATGCTGGCGGAGGAGCCCATGCAGCTCGGCCACCTTCCCCCCGAGGAGAGACAACGACGGTGGCGGGAGGGCCTCTGTGCCTACTGTGGCTCTCCCGACCACTGACGCCTGGACTGCCCGCTACGATCGGGAAACGGGGGGCCCCACTGAGTATTGGGGTCGCTCAGTCTGGGTCTTCTTCTACCCCTGTCGCTACTAACCGTCTCCTTATTCCTGTCACCCTCCTCCATGGTGAGGCCTCACTCCACGTAAATGCATTGGTGGACTCGGGGGCCGCGGACAATTTCATGGACCTAGATCTGGCAAAATGCCTACGGATCCCCCTACAACCCCTGGAGAGAGTTATACCAGTGACCTCGGTGGACGGTAGGCCTCTCCAACCCTACCCAGTCCGAGACCGAACCCAGTCACTCCGTATGATCACCCAAGGCCACCAGGAGACCCTCCATTTCCTGGTCATTTCTGCTCCCTCTTCTCCCCTAATCCTGGGGTTCCCCTGGCTCCGTCTCCACGACCCTCATATTTCCTGGTCCCAGAACCGCCTGCTGGGCTGGGGGACCTCGTGCCAGACCCACCTCGTTCCTCCTCCATCCTCGGCGGGTCTTCCGGACGGGGGCCCCGGCTCCACACCGCCCCACCTGCCGCTGCCCTATCGGGACCTGGCCGCGGTGTTCGACAAGCGGCGCGCCACCTCCCTGCCACCTCACCGGCCATATGATATGGAGATCAAGCTGCTACCCGGAACCAGTCCTCCCCGCGGGCGCCTTTTCTCTCGCGCGCCTCCCGAGACCAAAGCGATGGAAGAATACATCGCCCAGGCCCTCCAGCAGGGGTTCATCCGACCCTCCTCCTCTCCGGGTGCCGCTGGCTTCTTCTTCGTGAAGAAAAAGGAAGGCGATCTTCGCCCCTGCATAGACTATCGGGGTCTGAACAAGATCACGGTCAAGGACCGCCATCCTCTGCCGCTCCTCACTACCGCTCTGGATGCCATCTCCCAGGCACGGATCTTTACGAAACTGGATCTCCGGAGCGCCTACAATCTGGTCCGTATAAAGGCCGGGGATGAGTGGAAGACCGCGTTCATAACACCCACCGGCCACTGGGAGTACCTGGTTATGCCCTTCGGACTGTGCAATAGCCCTGCTGTCTTCCAACGTCTCATTAATGATGTCCTCCGCGACATGCTGGGACGGTGGGTGTTCGCCTATCTGGACGATATACTGATCTACTCCAAATCCGAGGCCGAACACATCCATCATGTTCGCGCCGTCCTGACCCGGCTCCTGGACCACAACCTGTACTGTAAACCCGAGAAATGCTCCTTCCATCAGCAGT